TGCATAACATTTGAGAACATGCAGGGTTACATGGTCGGAAATAGATATATTCAAACAGAAAATTGTTCATTTTGAATATTGAAAAAAAAATTAAACAATAGGAGCAAACTGCATATGTTTCATTTGTAAATCAGCAGCCGTTAGATTGTCAGAATGTCACGAATCACTGTCCTCTTTACCTACTGTTTCAGTACTCTCAGTACTAGTACTAGTGTCAGTACTCATCAGTACTGTCTGTTGATTTTGATGTATTCAGTAGTTTAGGTAGAGTTAGTAACTCTACTGTTGAGAAACAACATCATGGCATTCCGAACATCCCCATAATCGTCCCGTCCCCATCTCAAGGAATCAGGACAGTGTTCAAATTCCGATACTACTACTAGTACTTAGCAAGCAGTCTAACTTGAAATGTTGTGCCTTTCCTCTGAGTTTTAAGTGTCCCATGGCCACTCCCAGTCTCACCATTCTCTCCAAACTGATGATCTGTCTGTGCCTCAACCTCCACACTTTTCTCTCCTTCCCAAAAGACCTTCATAACATCTGGTTTGGCAGGCAGCAAAGTACCACCAACTGGTGCACAACCAGCCATTAAGTTCCCCAAAACACCTGCATAGCCTGGATTAAGCTGCTCAATACACACAGGAACCCAACTCAGTAATAGACATGTGTTTGTATGTATATAATACAGACAGAGATGTACAGTTTTTTATTTTAATTTTGTTTAAACCACAAGAGGATTTATTTTGCAGCACTTGAAAGATCCATATGGTTTTCTTTTCTGCAAAGTCAGCTGGTCATGCTCCGAGGGCATATCACAAAGTACTTGCATAGTCCAACACCAAACCATGACCTTCGGGGTGTGATGCAAACAGAACTATTATATTATAAATAGATTATTTTGAAAAACCAGATTATTTGGAAAACCCCAGAAAGGTCAACTTTATGAGAGCAAAGGTCAGAGTTGACATTGCAGCTCTAAATTTAATTAGCCAACAGAAATACTGTAAAAAAAAAAAAGCTTACTACATTACAGACCAGGAAGAGGAGGCTTTAATATGCTAAAGAGGCAAGACACTGATTTTGTGTACATCATTGAAGTCTCAGATCTTCAGACTACTTCCTGCAAGCTTCTAAAGATGCAGCCTCGATTGTGGGAGGCTGAGTTTACAGAAGTGAGGTTAAGGAGGCAGGTGCAGGACATCACATTTCTTTGGCTCAGCCTAGAACCAGATTGCCATATTTGGGCTTTGATCTTATGCAATCCTTCTCAGAAAGCAGGGATGCCTATTCTGTCACTGCCTTCCCTTGACGGCCAACCGGCATGTATGCAGATACTCTAGATCAACGGTTTTCAACCTTTTTCAAGTTGCCCCCCCCCCCCCCCCCCCCCCCCCCCCCCCCCCCGAATATATATGACAGGACCTCCCTACCCCCTCTTTTTCAGACTCTTTAAAACATTTGATTCAAAAGAGGACAGAAAAAAAAAAAAACTCCCTAGTAATATTAACAAGAACTTGCAGAAAAATATCCACATAGGTCAGTTAAATAACATAGAAAAAAAAATCATCAACTGCCAATTTAGTGTCTAAATATCTCTGTGATGGTTGATACTGCGTTGTCTTGATGGTATATGCTGTTTTTGGTCAGATGTTAGGCAATGCACAATAGAGATTATTCTCCATATCAGGCTGTCAGAACTGTTTTGTTTTTATTAGAGTTAATATTTTATTTGTGACAACTAAAAAAAAATTTTTTGTATAACGTCAAAATTGTTTAGACTCCCTAAAACTTCTCCGCTCTGCCTTTTTTAAAGGATGAAAACAACTGCTCTAGATGGCAGCACCTGTAACTTGAGAAGCTAAAATAAAAACATAAGATCAACGGTGAGGTTGTGCAGTATCCCACACAACTACAGTGAGGTTGTACAGTATCCCACACAACTACAGTATGGTTGTACAGTATCCCACACAACTACAGTGAGGTTGTACAGTATCCCACACAACTACAGTATGGTTGTACAGTATCCCACACAACTACAGTATGGTTGTACAGTATCCCACACAACTACAGTATGGTTGTACAGTATCCCACACAACTACAGTGAGGTTGTACAGTATCCCACACAACTACAGTGAGGTTGTATGGTATCCCACACAACTACAGCGAGGTTGTACAGTATTCCACACAACTACAGCGAGGTTGTACAGTATTCCACACAACTACAGTGAGGTTGTATAGTATCCCACACAACTACAGCGAGGTTGTACAGTATTCCACACAACTACAGCGAGGTTGTACAGTATTCCACACAACTACAGCGAGGTTGTATGGTATCCCACACAACTACAGTGATGTTGTACAGTATCCCACACAACTACAGTGAGTTTGTACAGTATTCCACACAACTACAGCGAGGTTGTATGGTATCCCACACAACTAAAGTGATGTTGTACAGTATCCCACACAATTACAATGAGGTTGTACAGTATCCCACACAACTACACTAAGTTAGTACAGTATCCCTCACAACTATCTAGCAAGGCTAATCTAAGACTGAAACATTTTAATGTGTCAGACAAAAGGTGTAGATATCACATCTATGCTGTAAACATGCACAATGCAGTTGCATTCTTGTGTAGATAAAGAAGTTACATTTAAAGCTAGTTTTTCAGAAAACAACTACACTTGTATACCATGGCCAGATCAACACTGCTTTTGTAACTGTCACATTCATTCTGTTGGTATCTTGTCATGTGTTTCGGCTGATGGACTTGCTATCTGCACTGTCCATTCTGTGGTATATGTTTGTGTTCTTTACAAACAAACCTTTGAGCTTTATATATTTTTTTCAGCACAGAAAAAAAAAGACTGTAACCACATGACCCATTTACATCCATCAGATGGTAGATGATAAAAGAGCCTGAGAAACTATGAACCAATAGTCTGCGCACAAATAAACATAATCTGTAAAACAGATATGCACACAGAGTTCAAGCCCTAAAACAAGACAAAGTCTAGAAGTGGATGAACAGAATTTTCTACTGGAGTTAACAGCTGGTTTGATTGATTGATTGATTTGATCCAAGAACCGACATCACAGCACTCGGGGCATTCCCATAAGCGCTCAGTCCCCATCTTCAGCAGCCAGTGAAGAGTTCCGATACTAATGGTGCCAGTAGCTTTCTGATTAAACGTCCGTCTTGCCTTTCCTCTGAGCCTCCAGCTTCTGCCAGAACCTCTCGTCACCCCCAACTGCATCAATCTCACCAGACTGTGGTGATCCATCTGCTCCTCCAAATTGTACACGCTCTCCCACAAGGCACTAACCACGTCTGACCTATCATGTATCAGTATTCCACCAAGTTGTGCAGAGCCATCTAGTCTGTCCGCCTGTTCATTTCCCAACACACTGGCGTGACCCGGTGAAAAAATCCAGACAATACTCCTCACTCGTGTCCTCAGCAGCGAAGCATGCCACTCTGCACGAAGCATACCTGTTCTGATCTTCCTCAGCATGCTTTCTGAATCAGTTACAATTACGATGTGTGTGTGTGTGTGTGTCGTGTTCTCTAGCCAGCGGAAAGCTGCAGTGACCGCCTCCACCTCCATTCTTGAGCTGGATGTTGTGGTATCTTATTCTAGGCTTTCCTGCACCAAACGTCGACCATTAACTTTTGCTAAGAAGCCCCAAGCAGTTCTTTTGCCTCTTGACACTGAATCGTCTGTGTAAATGATCAAATCCTCCAAGCGAGCATTATCTTGAATTAACTGCTGAATTTCCACCTCTGTGGCACCTGCTGACCAGTCTCTGCATTCCCGGCTCAGCGTGATTATGACTCTACACAGGTCTGACTGCTCAGGTGGCACTTTGACCCACTCCTCTCCTCGCCTAATGTTCTCAAAGATGCAAACCTGTTTGATTGTGTCTTCTGCCTGAGCCATCCATGACCTCCCCCTTATCAGCAGCTGACCCTTAACTGCACCCAGAGCTTCATGCAGAGGGTGGTCTGTGTCTGCAGCTACCTGGAGATATGACTTCGCCTGCAGCACCTTGTGCCTACCTGCAACCGTCGGCAAACCAAGGATGTATCGCATACACACCACTTGGGTGTCTCTGGTGCAACCCAGAATGACCCGCATAGCCGCGTTCTGTATGCGCTCTAGTTTGTCCATCTGACTCTTTGAGACGGTAAGCAGTCCCAGGCCATAATCCACCACTGACAGGATTAGGTGCTGATATAGTGTGAAAAGCATTCTCTGTTCTATGTCAATTGCAGCCATAGTCTTAAGTGCACTAAGTTCTTTTTTGGCATCTCGTCACAACACTCTCCACATGGTCCGTAAATGACAGGCTCCTGTCAAATGTAATTCCTAGATACTTCAGTTTGCTCTCTCTGTTGACGTCTCTACCATCTATCGTGAGACTTGGGACATTAGTTTTAATGATTCTGTTGTCCAGAGAACACCACAAAACAGACGCCTTTTCCGTACACCACTCAGTCTCTTTATCTACTGTCGCTTGTAGCTCCCGAGCTGTTTGTTCCCTCTCTTCCCCCTGCCTATATGCAAGTATATCATCCTGGTGCTTCTAGCTTGCTATCTTGCTCGTATACACGTTGAAGAGCGCAGGGGAGATGGCGGATCCCTGGGGCCAAAGTGCATGGTTCAAAGGTCCATGAGCCCAGTCGGAGAGCAACCCGACATGAATACAAGACAGCTGCAACCCAATTCACTAGCCATGGATTGACCTCCTTCTCCCTCAGTGCAGTCATTAAGATATTGTATCTCACTCTGTTATAAGCATCCTCAAGATCCAGTTCTACCGCCAAAGTTTACTGTCTGTTCTGGAACCCTTCATAGACGTCAAAAGCAAAAGTGGCCGCTGGGGAATTTGAGGAAGAGAATACAGTTCTTTCATACTGCAATATAGAAGAGGAAAGATTGGGAATGAATGATTTTGAATAATTATATTTGCTTTGAGTAACCTTTTCACTTTGTAGGTCTTGTTCGCTTGGATGGCTCTAAGCTGGAGGTGGGGGACAGGGTGGTGTGTGACAACCACAAAGCCACTATCCGCTTCATCGGTCAGGTACCACCAACCAAAGGTATGATGTCTCCATTTTTGATTTGACATTATGAAGACTAGTGTAATGTCTAGCACTCATTGTCTCCTACTAGTCGCACTGCCTCATGCATTTTTCTGCTCAGAGGTTCTCTTAACTCTGAAAGGATGACATTCTTTCTGGGGTTTGGACAGCATTATTTTGAGTGGATTTTTTTTGCTGCGCCATGACAAAGCTAAAAGCTTTCGGAAGAGAAAGTATTGGCTGTATCGGGACATATAATATATCAAATTAAAGAGAAATGAGTGCAGAATACATCTTAACTATATAAGTTTCAGCATTTCAGCAAAATAATATTAAAATCACACAAAATTCAAGGATGTTGAACAGTATGAAGAATATTTACACACAAAATATTGTGGTTACCATACTTTTTACCTCTTTAACAACCCTGTTATCAATTTATAAGAATTGACACGCCTTCTCTGTTCATTTATTTATCAGCTAGTCATTATTTAAAATAATTAATTTACATACTTTGGATGTTATGACCATTTTTGTATGACATGTCATGTTTTGCTACTGAAATCGGAAGAACAGCTGATTAAAATATTTCTTGTCTGTCTTTAGCTAGTTAGTTAGTTGCAGTTCCAACTTTATAGGAAACACGTCCCCTTATCATTACTCCAGTCCTGTACCAGCAAAACTTGACAGAATGACCATTGCTATCCCTTATAAAGAAAATTGAAATCCATAGTAGTCCTGGTAAAGCTGATAGCATGTGCACATAAATTGCACGAGGCAGCCATCAGAAGTGCCAACACAAACATTCCACCACCAGAATCACAGTTATTGACGGAAGCAACATTTATAACAAATCATCACTTGCATAGACAGTATAGCATAAGGCACGGTTTTGTGGCAATAGGCCGCCCACCATTTTATAAATCATTAGATAGGCCATGGAACTATGTACTGTCAGTCCATATATAGGGACACTGCAAACTACACTGACCTTTTCTCTTTTCTAAGTAAACTTAACTGTGTCTTGTATTCCAGTTTGGCTTTTCTCAGTGGTAACTGAAGTTAGTTATATGAAAATGATCATTTTCTCAGTATGACTAAAGATAGCTGTATGCGTATTGCTCTTCTTCCAGGTATATGGCTGGGAGTGGAATGGGATGACCCTAGCCGAGGCAGACATGATGGCTGTCATGAGGGAGTTCGATACTTTCAAACGAGGTTAGCACTGATTGTATACTCGTGGCGCGGTGATTTCGGTCACAGGCATGAGGGGAAGTTAAGTCTGATGTGATGTGTATAAGGAGATATTCCGTACCCCACTCGGGCGCCAGTACTTCACTGTTCTGGTTTTACGGAACCTCATGCAAGACTCCTGTTGCACGTCCCCGTCGTGCGCCACGGATAATGTCTCAAACGAGCATTAACAGAGTTGGCAGGGGATCTCGGAGCTGGCGGCCCCCAGAGGTGTAGAGTCCTTTCTGGCTCTCACCAGCCCGCCCCCAAACGCATGGGTGAAAAGTAACAAAACTCAAGGACTGCTTGCTAAATGTACCATCAAATGACAACTCTTGGTTAAAATTCGGGAGCGAATGGAAAACTGTGCTGCTGAGACTCAACCCTGACTGAGAGATTTACCCGCAGCCAAGACGAGTAACATCTCTTGTGGGCGACTTCTCGCAGCAAGATCCCACCTACGTACATCCTCTGTCAGTCCTCAGTGTCGTCGTCACCGCGCTGAGGTACACCATGGCAGCAACTATACATATGCTGGCTTGAAAACAATGTCCGACAAAGTTACACCCCACGGCACACATGCAAGCTCAAAGTCCGACGATCATAACTCGTACCGATTAGGAAAAGTCTGAATGTCCGTATCCACTGGTCCAACTCGCCCGAGTGTTGGGACCAAACAGGTGAAGCCACGCCTGACGCATTTTGCTTCCCCATTCTGTCGTGCTAAGGGCACAGCTGAAACAACGTTAAAGGTGTCTAACGTAAGATGAAAAAGAATGTACCTATTTGTGTGGCCACAAACGTCCTAGACCTGCGGGCTGCTCCCCGCTGATCTCCGGAGAGCGCAGCCTTGTAGCGCGGGAAGCTCAATACACGGTTGTGAGGTTAAGCAGTCATGGGCAGGACGTGACGATTCCTTGGGTGAGCCCAGAACCAGAGCATCATGTGTCGGCTCTGCATTTATGGAAGCCTCCTTGGATGGCGGGGAATGCCCATGATCTGCCCCTGCCTTCCCTTGAGGGCTGAAAACTCTACATAGAGCTGCCTTAAGGACGACATGCCGGGGGCCACACTTGTTAAAAGTCAAAGAGGACACCACACAAATAAGGCAACATCTCGACCCACACAAAACAATGGCCACAGTCAACCTAGAAATAGGCTTGACGTCTTCCTCCGAAGTCGGAGTACATCTGCCTGAGAGGCGGGGAACGAGTACTGCAAACAAATAAGCCAGTAAAACGGATGTACACGCAAAACTCAGGTCAAGGTAAAAGCCAAAAGTCCATTTTGGACGAACAACCGTGACTTACCGCCGGAATTCACAGCCGGTGAACAAGAAGAAGAAGAAGAAAGATTGTATACTCAGATTTAACTGACAAAACCAAATGGCTTCAGGGTCTCTTCATTGCTTACTTCTAGATAATCATATTTTTTTTATAGTCATGCTCAGCAATTCTTCACCATCTTGCAGTCTGTTGCCTTCCTTGTGGGTTTGCAAAAAAGACAACATATCAAGTCTTCTTTAGTCCGTCATGGAAAAAAAAAATATCTTTCCACTTATGGACATGCATCTCTTTAGTTTTAACCTTTGGTATTTAAGGCACTGAAGATCAGTTCTCAATCTTAGTTATCACTAGACTACCTCTCGTTGATTGCTGGCATTGCTCTGTTTTTCTTGTGTGTTTATTTCACAGCAGATCTGCCGTCTATTAGAGCTATTAAAAGTATGCAGGTTGTACATTTGGATGTGCAGATAGTATCAACAAAAAAATGAACAAAGTAGATTAACTCTGTCAGTGCCAGATAGGTTTCACTCAACGCATTATATCGGTCAGTCAGTCAGGTGCCATCTCCACATTGAGGGTTGGACCTCAAACACTCTCTGTCTGTCTGTAGTCTTGATTTTTACATTCTCTCACACTGCTGTTTGACCATTTCTTGATGTTATCCTCCCACTTATGTAATTGTCTACCTCTTGCTCGCTTGCATTTGACATTTCCCTTCAGTGTGGTTTAAAAAAAATGCTTTTTCCGAAAAAAATTAAAAATATTGAAGGTGGTTGTAATGATCCAAGAATTACCATGACAATAGAAGTTTTACAGTATAAAGAAAAACATCCACTTAGTGGAGGAGGTAGGGCTTAGAAAAGCACAGGCAAGGAAAGACAATCATGAGGATAGCCTGATTCTTATGAGAAACCAGAAGAAGTGAGTGACATTCCAATTAGGCGTGTGAATTGAATGCATGAGAAGAAGTGTGAAAGAACCACATTTCATTCTGAGTTTCACGCGAGGAGCATGGAACAGTGAATGAGAGTAAAGTTGAAGACTGTATTTACCTAAGCAACCTGCAGAGATGGTGAAAATCTGGCTGTTGTGTTTGGTCAAGATGGATGACTGCTAGCTGTTTCATCTATGAGACGTTTAGAGCACATGCCATTGTCTGTGTATATCCGTCTGTAAGCAGAATGATATTTTGTGAGTAATATTTTGGTAGGTTCGATTCCTACTACCTCCTGTCAATTAGTAACAGACGAGAGACTAAGCAGCTCTGATTGTATGTCAAGCATTGTGTTCCAGACACTCTGTTGTTGACTTCTATGTGTAGTCATCATTCTTGCTGCGGGCTGGGCCAACCATAGTGCCAGTTCTCTGTTGTGTGGCTGAGCCAGTGACAAGAAGTTTAGTACAGTATTATATTTGCTTTTTCTGAAATTTGCTGCTGTTTTGCTTGAAATAAATGCATGTTGATGTTTGACAGTGTGAAAAATAAAATAGTTGTAAATACTATCTCCTAGTTGTCCTCATTTACTGATATTTGACAGGACAGGTTTATCTCTTCTTCTACTTCTTCTTTTTCATGTTCACCGGCTGTAAACTCTGGCTTAAAGTTCTGGTTGTTCATCCACTTTGGGACTTTATTCTTGCCTCAAAATTGAGTTTTGTATGCACATCTGTTTTACAGATCTGGCTTATTTGTAAGCAGCGGCTGGTTCCTTGCCTGGTCATCTCATGTTGCTGATAGTTTTTGTTTTGTTTTATATGACCCAGTCATCCCAAGTCTGGGTCTTTTGTTCGACCAACAAAAGTTGACGGAGGCATCACGGCCCTCAGGGCTGTCAATGAGAGGTATGGCCTGAAGAATGACGCTGAGGCTGGCGTGAAAACGGAGGAGTTGTTTGTGCTTGACCAGTATCTGAATCCTGTTGTGGTGGAGATGGTTGGGGCCAAGAAAGTCAATATGCTTCAGAGGTTGGTTTCTGTTTGTGTCTACATGTCCTAAGAGTATTGTACACAAGTTAATGTCTGTTTGTGTCTACATGTCCTAAGAGTATTGTACACAAGTTAATGTCTGTTTGTGTCTACATGTTCTAAGAGTATTGTACACAAGTTAATGTCTGTTTGTGTCTACATGTTCTAAGAGTATTGTACACAAGTTTATGTCTGTTTGTGTCTACATGTCCTAAGAGTATTGTACACAAGTTAATGTCTGTTTGTGTCTACATGTTCTAAGAGTATTGTACACAAGTTAATGTCTGTTTGGGGCTTGATTTCAGGTAACTGTTCAACTGTCTGTTGTCTGTCACTTGATGTCAGAAGATTGTCCTACTTAAGTTAAAATCTGTTGTCTATTACATGATGACAGGAAATTATTCTTCAGAAGTTACTATCTGTTGTCTGACTGTGACTTGATGTCAGAAGAATATACTTAGTTGTTTGTATCTGATGTCTGTTACTTGTTGACAGAAAATTATTCTGCAGAAGTTAGTTTCAGTTATTTGTTACTTGATGTCAGAAAATAAGAATGTTTTACAGAGGTTTAGTCTGTTTGTTACTTGTCTGATAATTATTGTATTAATTGTGTTCTGATTTATAGAGAGTTTCTTCAACAACAAAAATTATGATAATAATCAATCATGTGCTTACGGTAGCACTGCATTAGCCCCGAGGTTATTTCACTCACTTGCCAACTCATTTCTTGAGTTCCTGTCCTTCGTTCCAAGAAAATCTGTCTTTGTCACAACAATTTTGCAGGATCAAGCAGACCTAAAACATAGGCCCCAGCAAACTTCCTGTGAGGTCATATGGTCAACGTGGATGGCACCTTTTCCATCTTTTCAGATGATAGTATTGTATTGCGCTGCAGGGGTGGATGGGAATCTCTGTCACTGACAATGGCAGGTGTAACTGACAAGATTAGTTTGCATTAAGAACAGTCTTTTCCAAATCAGGGATCTTAATTTCCTGTGGTCCTGCAGATACAGGCCTGGTTCAAATAATGTTTTACTGATTAACGGCTTTATCTTATTTCACACCAAATGTCTTCATCTGCTGGTGTCCTTGGAACATTGTTATTTGTGTATTTCTTGCAGCCAGTTCAACAAACTGAAGAAAATCTCAATGTTTGACATGAAAGTCTACGCTGCTGGTCCGGAGGGTGAACTGGGTCGTCTTTGTCCAAACGTGACAGACCTGGACGTGTCATCATGTTTGTTTTCTTCATGGGAACGTGTGTCGGAACTCACCTGCCAGATGTCTCATTTGAAAGATCTGAATGTTAGGTAAGATTATTGTGTTGATGTCATTAGATTATGGTCAAACACCAGTGCAGATGTGCAAGTGTCAATCATAGATGATTTCATTAACACTTACAAAAAATAAAAGCTTTTGAAAAGAAAAGTTACAAAACATTTTTAATCAAGAAGAAAATAGATGCTGACATTTAGCCAGATGTGTACATTGAAGTCAATTGGCTCATAGGCAGGATCATGTATCACAAACTGAAATAAAGTGCTATCACTACATCAGATGTCATTGACTGTGATATAACAGTACTGGTGGTGGTGGGAGGGGGCGCATGATTCCTGGTAGGGGCTATAGGTATAGACCACAATGATGGCAGGTACAGGGCCTGTTAGCCAACATGAGCATGGAAATGCTGGCAGAATAAGAGAACTATTGAAAGGTTGAAGTCAGACAGCTGGTGAAAGATGTAAATAAGAGAATTGGTGAAAGGTGTAAATAAGAGAGCTGGTGAAAGGTTGAAGTAAGAGAGCTGGTGAAAGGTTGAAGTAAGAGAACTGGTGAAAGGTTGAAGTAAGAGAGCTGGTGAAAGGTTGAAGTAAGAGAGCTGGTGAAAAATGTAAATAAGAGAGCTGGTGAAAGGTTGAAGTAAGAGAGCTGGTGAAAGGTTGAAATAAGAGAACTGGTGAAAGGTTGAAGTAAGAGAGCTGGTGAAAGGTTGAAGTAAGAGAGCTGGTGAAAGGTTGAAATAAGAGAGCTGGTGAAAGGTTGAAATAAGAGAACTGGTGAAAGGTTGAAGTAAGAGAGCTGGTGAAAAGTTGAAGTAAGAGAGCCGGTGAAAAGTTGAAGTAAGAGAGCTGGTGAAAGGTTGAAGTAAGAGAACTGGTGAAAGGTTGAAGTAAGAGAACTGGTGAAAGGTTGAAGTAAGAGAGCTATTGAAAGGTTGAAGTAAGAGAACTGGTGAAAGGTTGAAGTAAGAGAACTATTGAAAGGTTGAAGTCAGAGAGCCAGGGAAAGGTGTCAATAAGAGAACTGGTGAAAGTTTGAAATATGAGAACTAGTGAAAGGTTTAAATAAGAGAACTAATGAAAGGTTGAAGTCAGAGAGCCAGGAAAGGTTTAAATAAGAGCACTGGTGAAAGTTTGAAATATGAGAATTGGTGAAAGGTTTAAATAAGAGAACTGGTGAAAGGTTTAAATAAGAGAACTGGTGAAAGGTTTAAATAAGAGAACTAATGAAAGGTTGAAATAAGAGAACTAATGAAAGGTTGAAATAAGAGAACTGGTGAAAGGTTGAAATAAGAGAGCTGGTGAAAGGTTGAAGTAAGAGAGCTGGTGAAAGGTTGAAGCAAGAGAGCTCGTGAAAGGTTGAAGTAAGTGAACTAATGAAAGGTTTAAATAAGAGAAGTAATGAAAGGTTTAAATAAGAGAAGTAATGAAAGATGGAGCCTTTTCCATGGGCTGTGATAAAAACAATGTTATGTCAAGGACTTTTCTGTCTTGTGATGAACCTGTGTATGCTAGTTGTGTGACCAGTCAGCTACAAGCCTGCCCCTACACAACTTATGTTCTTACACTATTTACTCATCCATGAGCTGTCCTTTCATGAAATGCTGCAAGACAGTTTTAGATTCCTCTTTTACCACCTTACTGTCTCCCTTAAAGCACTGTTGGTCCGCTGAGAATAAAGTACCTGAAATTTGGTGAGGCAAAATGCTACCCTAGGACTAACCCTGGCCAGTCTAGTCTGTCAGTGCCTGGTGGCCATCTTGTGTTCCTCTCTGCAGATGTGAAGATTCAGTGCCAATCCTACACATCACCGCCTGGTGGCCATCTGGTGTTCCTCTCTGCAGATGTGAAGATTCAGTGCCAATCCTACACATCACCGCCTGGTGGCCATCTTGTGTTCCTCTCTGCAGATGTGAAGATTCAGAGCCAATCCTACACATCACCGCCTGGTGGCCATCTGGTGTCCCTCTCTGCAGATGTGAAGATTCAGTGCCAATCCTACACATCACCGCCTGGTGGCCATCTTGTGTTCCTCTCTGCAGATGTGAAGATTCAGAGTCAGTCCTACACATCACCGCCTGGTGGCCATCTTGTGTTCCTCTCTGCAGATGTGAAGATTCAGTACCAGTCCTACACATCACCGCCTGGTGGCATCCTAATGTGCCTCTGCAGATGTGAAGATTCATTGTCAGTCCTGTAGAGTCTACTGCTTTCTGGCTTTGGATGTTTTGAAGAGATGCTATTTCAACGCCAGGTTGAGAAAAAAAGTCTCTATGTGAACCTCACTCTAATAGATGAGCACTGTTTAGAACCTCAGCAACACACATTCTTAAGTCTAGGACAACAGTTTCAGCTTTCACAGAATCCACAAAAATGGCTATTTACTGCTCTACCTATGTGCCAGCCCTGACATATGGGTGTGAGTCAAGGACAGTGACAACAGCTCACAGAAGTCAGCTTCAGGCCTCAGACATGAGATATCTGAGAAAAGTGGTCCAAATGACAAGACAGGACAAAGTTCACAGTCAAACATTACATCAAGACTTCAAACCCAGGCATTACAAACTCGAGTGTATCAGTCACAGTTACGATGGTTTGTATATGTGTGCAGAATGGGAGACAATCGGCCACCATGGGTGGCTGCTATGTACCAGGAAACCACACCTCCGGGACGACCCAGGGTCCGTTGGGAAGACAACATCTGACAGTCCCTGACTAACAGAGGACTGGAATGGAACAAAGCTAGAAAGAAAACTGCTGATAGAGAAGTCTGGCTATCTCTTTGGCAAACCTCTACACCCTAGGGTAGAAGAGGAGCGACTAAGTAAGTAAGTTCAGAGAATCCACAGCCAGACTGTTTCTGAGACTTGTCCATTATTCTGCTCACTTTTTTGTGTGTGTTCTAGTTTGTCTCTTGACATGGCCAATAACTTTAGTGCCTTATAACACTTTAAGATAGGTTCCTTTTGTTTCAAATCAGTCACATTTTTATTTTTTATTGTGTTTGCATTTTAACATTACAGACTGTTAAATTATTTGTTATCTTTCAGTGAAAACCGACTTCTCATTCCAAAGGACCCAACCTCGTTATCTCCCAGCTTTGCCAGAGTGCAGAATCTCACCCTGAACCAAATGAACATCACTTGGAAGGAAGTGCTGGCCATCTGTTCCATGTTCCCTGCGCTGGAAGAGCTTCACTGTTCCTTCAACAATATAGTCTACTTTGCTGATGCCTCTAGTGAGCTCAAGGGCTTGAAGATTCTCGACCTGATGACCAACAACATCCAAGACTGGAATGAAGTTCTCAAACTGGGAAACCTGCAGAGGTAATCTTGCCTTGTAACTAGAATGGATTCTTAGATTGTAGTTTTTCCCATAATACTGTTGAATAGAGGAATACTGTTGAATAGAGGAATATTGACTGAATAGAGGAATATTGACCGAATAGAGGAATATTGACTGAAAAGAGAAATATTGACTGTAAATTGCGGAAAACACTGTTAACTTTCTGCAACCTTCTCGTTTAAAAAAAAAAGAAAAAAAGAAAAGAGCCAGGAACCTGGGAATTCCCCTTCAAAAGTCCTTTAACATTTTTAAAAAGTCATAGGTTATTAAAACATTTAACAGTAAATTATTTGTATACGTTTGAAAACTTCTTCACAGATATATAAAGGGGAATAATTAATGAACATGAATGGAGTAGAGAATTAACTGATTACATTCCCTTGTGCCTAAAAACGAAATGTGTCCAGTGACTGATGGCATGGCTGCTAGTACTAAAGGCTGAGACAGTTATGATGTCATCCTGGCTGAGAAAAAGCCACTATCTTCACATTAAAAGAAACCTCAGATACTGTTTTAGTAAATATAATTATTTCTGGCCAGTTTGAGGCTGGCACAGATCAGTGAATATTTATTGGATACCAAATCCTTCCTATATCCTATTACTGTAGATATAGGAAGCAGGTAGCCTTGTTTTAGGGTTTGATTTGTTCTGTTTCTTTTCCCTTGATAGGCTAGAAACATTAATTATCAGTGAGAACAAGATCAAGTCCATATTCTTCCCAGACTGCTCACCTACGGAAAAGACAGCCTACTTTCCCAGATTAAAGGCCTTTATCATCAAAAGGAACGAGATTTCCTGTGTAAGTCAGATGTTTTTGCCACCTGCACACATTTTATTAATAATATTGGAAAATGTCTTCATTGTAATTATTAACCCTCAAATACACGACCACTGTAATATGTAGCAATTGATGTATGTAGTATAGTTACTGTACTCTACTGTTCTCTGTGTACCACTTCTAATGAGTTTGTTTAATTTTTTTTCTTTTATAATAATATAAGGAGAATTCATGCCACACACACATAATTGCGTGCATTAAACATGATTTTCATTCAATAAGTACTGACAAGTGAATAAAAAAAACACATGCTTATTGTCCCTTGTTCGTGACAATTCCCGCCCAAGTGATATGAGTGTATATAAGATGGCTCTGTGGTGAGGGGTAGATAAAGTGCATGGGGGTTCATAGCGAAGGCTAATGGACATCGCTTGGCGCAACAAAGCCTGGCAAATTATATCACAACGTCTAGTTTGAGCATAAAGGTGGAGGCAGTCACTGCTGCCTTCTGTTGGCTTAAGAATCAGCTGTACACACGTCGTCATTGTAACTGACTCACAGAGCATGTTGAGAAAGCTGAAGACGGGCATGCTGCGTGTAGAGTGGCAAGCATCACTTCAGAGGCCCCGGATTGTTAGCATCCTTTGGATATTTTCTCCAGGTGACGCCGGTGTTTTGGGAAATGAGCAGGCGGATAGACTGGCCGGTTACACCACTTGGTGGGGAACTGATATATGACAAGCTGAATGTTGTGAGGGCCCTTTGGGAGCGAGTGAACAGTGCCCAGGAACAGATAGATCATTACGGTCTGAGGAGAATGGCACTACGAGGAGTTACAAGGGGATCTGGCCGACATTTGACACTCAGGGGAGGGGCGAGACAGATATACAATCAGACTGTTACTGGTACCATCGGAATTGTAACTCTCCGCTTGCTGCTGAAGTTGGGAACGGAGCGCTTATGGGAGTGTCTCGAGTGCTGTGATGTCAATTCTTAATTCAACATTTAACATGCTTATTGTCCTAAGATGCATAAGTTCTGTTTCTGGTTTCAGAAAATGAAGGGATTGATAAAAAATCTACCCAAAGAAACTCAGACAGCACTGGAATAGTTTCTTTTATTTGAAGGATGATACACCAAAATATGTATATGGGTAAAAACACTAAATTCTGAATTAACTTTTTTCCTTCCAAGACCGCAAAGACCTGACCATTCTAAGCCATCATAACTCAAATAGTACTTATCTGATTAAAAAACATTTATACAGAAACTTGTAGGATATTGGTTTAACTTTCAAGTTTGTTTCTAAATTCAAAGATCTAATTTTTTCAAGATTCCTTGTTAGAACTCCCCCTTAAAGAACCCTGACTGAAAAGTGATTGTGTGTGTGTGTACGTGTGCGTGTGTGCCTGTTTACTCCTTTATTTAGTTAATACAGAAGTTTGCATTCAATAACTCTACTGGAGCTACTTGTCTGTCAGCTGTCTTAGAGTAATCACCTTGTAAGTAAGTATATAGCCATAGTTGAAGGAAGGTTCCCCCTCTAGCATCATGCAGCCCTCTTTTAGCAATATCTACCATGTGGTTACACTTAAGTTTGCTTCCACTTGTCATCTTGTTGACTGTTGTCATTTTTTTAATTTTCATACTTTGAATTTTGTCACTCACAATCTTTGTTTGCAGTGGTCTTCCGTCAATGAGCTCAACAAATTACAGAATCTGGAAGAGCTTCAGGTCGCAGAAAATCCAATTTTGAGAACGTACAATTTGGAGACAGTAAGACAGTTGTTTGTGGCCAAGATTGGAAACCTCAAGTTGTTTAGCAGAACTCCAGTAAGTTGTATACATACACTTGTCAAGTAGATTAGTAACAAGATTGGAAACTTTAAATTGTTTAGCAGAACTTCAGTAAGTCGTCTCTACATACACTTGTCAAGTAGATTAGTAACAAGATTGGAAATCTCAGGTTATTTATCAGAACCCAAGTAAGTCGTCTCTACATACACTTGCCAAGTAGATTAGTAACAAGATTGGAAACTTTAAATTGTTTAGCAGAACTTCAGTAAGTCATCTCTACATACACTTGTCAAGTAGATTAGTAACAAGATTGGAAACCTCAGGTTGTTTATCAGAACCCAAGTAAGTCATCTCTACATACACTTGCCAAGTAGATTAGTAACAAGATTGGAAACTTTAAATTGTTTAGCAGAACTTCAGTAAGTCATCTCTACATACACTTGTCAAGTAGATTAGTAACAAGACTGGAAACCTCAGGTTGTTTATCAGAACCCCAGTAAGTCATCTCTACATACACTTGTCAAGTAGATTAGTAACAAGATTGGAAACCGCAAGTTGTTTAGCTGAACTCCAGTAAGTCGTCTCTACATACACTTGTCAAGTAGATTAGTGAAAAAAGTAGATCAGGGGGAATAGTGGATACATGTGAAGTCATAGATGTGGTTATGTAAATAAAATTAACTTCTCTTATATGAATATATTAGATAACCTTAGATGTTTTTCATCTTGTGACAATTTTTTATCGTCCACCTTCTTTCAGATAACATACGAGGAGAGAAAGGGTGCAGAGATTGATTACCTGAAGCGATTCGGCTCCGAGTGGAAACTAGAAGGCGGGCATCGGGACAGTGCTAAGAACCATCCCAGTGATAAGTTTGTAGCCGATCATCCCAGATATCAGGCCATTGTTGAAAGTAGGTGCCACTGATGCCTTCTGTGTGTCCTGTAGATGCTTTTGGAGCTGTGGCTCAGTTGTTTACTGGCGGGTTTAAAGATGTTCTAGATAATCTAGCATAGTATGTTGAGGAGTATTACGTCTGGCTGTCTTGTATATTTTACATACACTCTCAAACACACATACAGTGTTTTAACACATTTTTGTTGGTTAATAAAGGTCATTGTTCAGAATATTGAAAGTTTAACAGACTGTGAATATAATTTAATTACATCACATTTTTCAGAATGGGGAGCTCCAGAAGATTCAGAACTTGTTGAGAAATCGACAGCACTGAAGGAGAATCTATTAGGTGAGTCACAAGTTGTAAGGTAATCAGGAATTCACAGTTACGGTTTCATTGCAAGCGGGTCACCCCATAGTTGCTCCATTCCTGCGTCAATGAAAACCACACAGTATTTCTATCATTGTCCCTTGTGGAAAAAAGAAATGGACAGAGACTGCAGTCTCAGCAAGACCAGTTGGTATACCTACGCATCTGAGATTTGTAAAGGTATACCCTCGCATCTGACATTTGTAAAGGCGTACCCACACATCTGATATTTGTAATGGCGTACCCACACATCTGACATTTGTAAAGGCGTACCCACACATCTGACATTTGTAAAGGCGTACCCACACATCTGACATTTGTAAAGGTATACCCACACATCTGACATTTGTAAAGGTCTACCCACACATCTGACATTTGTAAAGGTATACCCTCGCATCTGACATTTGTAAAGGTATACCCACACATCTGACATTTGTAAAGGTGTACCCACACATCTGACATTTGTAAAGGTATACCCACACATCTGACATTTGTAAAGGTGTACCCACACATCTGACATTTGTAAAGGTGTACCCTCGCATCTGACATTTGTAAAGGCGTACCCACACATCTGACATTTGTAAAGGTGTACCCACACATCTGACATTTGTAAAGGTATACCCACACATCTGACATTTGTAAAGGTATACCCTCACATCTGACATTTGTAAAGGTGTACCCACACATCTGACATTTGTAAAGGCGTACCCACACATCTGACATTTGTAAAGGTATACCCACACATCTGACATTTGTAAAGGTATACCCACACATCTGACATTTGTAAAGGCATACCCACATATCTGACATTTGTAAAGGTATACCCTCACATCTGACATTTGTAAAGGTATACCCACACATCTGACATTTGTAAAGGTATACCCTCGCATCTGACATTTGTAAAGGTATACCCACACATCTGACATTTGTAAAGGTATACCCACACATCTGACATTTGTAAAGGTATACCCTCGCATCTGACATTTGTAAAGGTATACCCACACATCTGACATTTGTAAAGGCGTACCCACACATCTGACATTTGTAAAGTTATACCCACACATCTGACATTTGTAAAGGTATACCCACACATCTGACATTTGTAAAGGTATACCCACAAATCTGACATTTGTAAAGGCGTACCCACACATCTGACATTTGTAAAGGTGTACCCACACATCTGACATTTGTGAAGGTGTACCCACACATCTGACATTTGTAAAGGTGTACCCACACATCTGACATTTGTAAAATGTGAAAAACTCTACAGGGGGCCACCGTGGCTGTCCCAGGATCTATGGAGTTTGTCTTGATATGATGCTTTTGGCAGGGGGCTAGCCATTCTGTGGAGGCTGAACCATTTAGGAGAAAATCTGATGCAGTGCAGTCCATCATCTTGACTTTAAAACATCTGAAGTTCTAAAAGGCAGTATGTTAGGTTAATCACAAGTTGTTTGAACTCCTGCCTAGGTGTGTACAAAATGTCTGCATGGATTGACTTGGGCCTCTAATTGTTCTCAATCAATTAATGCTTTTTATTTCTGCAGCATTTCTCACATTCCCATTGGTCTATTTTACTGTGGGGACCAGGTTGACACACACTTTAACTGCTGATGCTTTGCATTTTGTATATAGAACTCTAGCATTTTTTCAGTAATATCACGAGGAGGGGGAAAACTGGAGTACACCATGACAATGGCAAGGCTGTAGAGGCAGAGGGAGATGAAAAGAGAACATGCTGGACAGTTTGGCTTCATTGCTGGAGGATCATCAGAGTCAGAAATGATTTAAAGAACACTCAACAACATACAGCATAGGCTTTAAGACAAACAACGAAGTCCTGCTACAGTTGTCTCTGGCCAAGCTTCCGTGGCATATTCTGGAAATCAAACAATAACTGGCTTAATTTAAGCCCATCATGTCCTATGGGTCTAGCATGTGGAGTCGGTTGACAGTGAAATAGCTACAGCCTATGGAAGCAGTGCTAGAGTATACCTAATCATAGCCAGATTGTAGAGACTAGGCTCAATTCTCACCTTATTACATAAGACAAAATTCACCAAAGAATTATTTAACAAGAACAGATGACTGGAGTAATAAATTAAAAGAAGATGGCCTGCCAATATCTCTCTGCTCATTGATTTTTCTGCTGCTTCCTCTTCTCTGATCTCTATTCCACCTTTTAGCATCTATTGCTTGTGTGGTCGACCTGTAGATCTGCTTCTGTTGTGTCAAAGTGACAGGGCTCTTTGTGATGATTCTGTGCTTGTGTGGTCGACCTGTAGATCTGCTTCTGTTGTGTCAAAGTGACAGGACTCTCTGTGATGACTCTGTGCTTGTGTGGTCGACCTCTAGATCTGCTTCTGTTGTGTCAAAGTGACAGGGCTCTTTGTGTTGATTCTGTGCTTGTGTGGTCGACCTCTAGATCTACTTCTGTTGTGTCAAAGTGACAGAGCTCTTTGTGATGATTCTGTGCTTGTGTGGTCGACCTCTAGATCTGCTTTTGTTGTGTCAAAGTGACAGGACTCTCTGTGATGACTCTGTGCTTGTGTGGTCGACCTGTAGATCTGCTTCTGTTGTGTCAAAGTGACAGGACTCTCTGTGATGATTCTGTGCTTGTGTGGTCCACCTCTAGATCTGCTTCTGTTGTGTCAAAGTGACAGGACTCTGTGTGATGATTCTGTGCTTGTGTGGTTGACCTGTAGATCTGCTTCTGTTGTGTCAAAGTGACAGGACTCTGTGTGATGACTCTGTGCTTGTGTGGTTGACCTGTAGATCTGCTTCTGTTGTGTCAAAGTGACAGGACTCTGTGTGATGACTCTGTGCTTGTGTGGTTGACCTGTAGATCTGCTTCTGTTGTGTCAAAGTGACAGGACTCTCTGTGATGACTCTGTGCTTGTGTGGTCGACCTGTAGATCTGCTTCTGTTGTGTCAAAGTGACGGGGCTCTCTGTGATGATTCTGTGCTTGTGTGGTCGACCTCTAGATCTGCTTCTGTTGTGTCAAAGTGACAGGGATTTCTGTGATGATTCTGTGCTTGTGTGGTCGACCTGTAGATCTGCTTCTGTTGTGTCAAAGTGATGGGGCTCTCTGTGATGATTCTGTGCTTGTCTTAGCACATCCGAACCAGGGTATTAAGATACATTACTATGCTCTGAGGAGAAGATGAAAGTGACAAGTACACAGTAACATAGCCACAGTAACATAGCTACAGTAACTTATCAATATAAAATCCACCTTTTTTTTTTGGGTGCAGATGCTCAAACTTGTCTTCATCTTATCTTTTAAATTGTGCAGTCCTTTACAAATGTATCTGTCCCAGATTTGCCGTGAGTGCCTCTGTCTGCATTCTCCTATTCTGTTACTAAGGTCTTGTAGGGTCATTAGCAGGTAACTGACATTTCGGAAGAAAATCCACAAGAAAATTGTTGTCATTTATGTTTTGTTTGATCCTTGTCTTGTTGCAGCCATCATTGTTTTATCCTTGTCTTGTTACAGCCGTCATTGTTTGATCCTTGTCTTGTTGCAGCCATCATTGTTTGATCCTTGTTTTGTTGCAGCCATCATTGTTTGATCCTTGTTTTGTTGCAGCCATCAACATATTTAGTCCACAGTATCCGGACAGAGGAACTCTAAGTAAGAAGTTGCCAGGTGGGTAACCAATTTGCACATTTCTTTATTTGTATTGCCCAGACAGAGCTTTAAACCCTGGCATATATTGTTGCAAGTCTTTTATCATAATCCTCACTTTTTTTAAAATAATAAAAGTAATGTATGCAGTCTCTACAATAGAGATTGGTTGTGGTAGATATATGCATCTTCTGCTGCTGTCTTTGGGAATAGTACACAATGAGGCGCCAGTATTACATTTTGAGGTCCCAATACTACAGTGAGGCCCCAATGTCACATAGTAAGGCCCCATTATTACATGGTGAGGTCTCAGTCACTTCTCTGATGCAGCTGTCATACCACTGTCCTGAAATCACAACAACGGTGAGGAATTTGGAAAAATAAAGTAACATAATCTATCTTATTGAAAGCAGACCTATCTCAGAACTTAAATGTGCGGACGACATAGTTCTTCTTTCCAGCTGTATACAGGGCTTAGAATAGTCCACACTGAAAACAACAAACCATGCCTAAGTAACTCAGGAAAAAGACTTGTTTCAGCACTGCAGAGACTAAACAGCAGCAGGAACTTACAGTACAGTGCCTGCAGGCCAGTTAAGATAAACACTCTGAGATGATCTATCATTCCCTTGGCAACTTTTGGTTGTGAGTAGCAGATTCCTACTCAGTCATTGAAGGAGAAAAATTGGAATCGGAGCTTTTGAACATTAATGCTACAGAAAAATTCTTAGAATACCATGAACCAAGAAGGAAAAAACACACTATGACATCCTACATGATCTGAACATCCAGGAGAATAGGCTCATAAACAGCATCCTGGCCCTGTTGAATATCACTGTGGTCTAGAGAGGATGATGATGGACGGTATAGTTTCTGTAAAATAGCACAGAGATAGACCTCTGTGAAGGTGGATACACAACATTGAAGATGCAGTGACTATAAAAGCACATAGGGCTGGAAAATTGGCTAGAGAAAAAGAGACTTTCAGGCATGCCGTGTCGAGAGCGATGTTCTAAGGTCCTGTTGATTGATGATGAATACATTTTTGATGTTTTTTTTTTAACCATTAATCAGCATAAGAAATCAGTAGTACTCATAGTTCATCAGGATTATTTTGGTTGTTTGAATTTAGTTTTGATTCATTTATGAGTAATTACTCTCAGAATTTAATTATAAACTAACAAAAAATCCAATCAGTTTTTCCAACTTAATATTTACGTTGCCAGGTACCATGTCTATAGAGAAGTTGAAGACATTGATACAACGTTTGTACAAGGAGAGCACAGAGCCAAAGTTAAAGTATGTCAGTCACAAGGTAAATCTCACATTGATTGCTGATTTACCAGGCTTGTCTTGAGCGGACATAGTAGCAGTAATCTTTTATTAGAGATAGGAGAGTTTTAGGCAGTCAGGGACTACCTTCTTTCCTTGGAGCAGTGTGATTGTTTGACAGCTGCAGGCATGGACCATTATGTGACCTGATTTGAAAACTGGTCACTGTAACAGTAACTGTAACACTTTCAGTACCAAACCATTATGCAGAACTAACATGTAACAGCTGACACATGCAGAACAAACATGTATGTTTACCAGCATTGTGTTACCAGTGCTGAACATGTACATTCACAGTAAGGGGGGAGAAGGACAAACTGAAACAACAGAAATGAATGTCCGTGGCAAAGCCTGAACTCCGCTAAGACCGGTCCCAAGCCCGGCTGTAAAAGGAGGAGGGTCTGGCTGAACCTGAGTGCTTCATGCGTCTCCGGAAGTAGTGCGTAACCGTGAATCAGCCAGACGACCTGCATGGAGGCCGCAAGGAGGCAGCCCCTCCACCATGCAAAGGCACAACAGGCCAATCACCTGTTTGCCTCAAAATATGATTACAAGTAACTACAGAGAGAAAACCGGACGGATCTTAACGGCGACGAACTGGCATGGCTTACGGACTACGAATTATGGAACATGGAACATAAGAGGCATTAACGGGAAGGAAAAAGAGTTAGTAGGGGAGATGAGGAAAGCGAAATTAGGAGTCTTGGCTCTGACTGAAACCAAGAAAAAGGGGCAAGGAATCACAGATCATGATGGAAGTATGCTGCTCTACAGTGGTGTCCCTATGACGGAGAGAGCTAAGGGAGGTGTTGGCTGTACTGTGGCCAGGAACCAAGTTAGTAACATCAAGAGATGGAAATTATGGGTGTGAGTCATGGGCAATGACAACAGCTCACAGAAGCCAGCTGCAGGCCTCGGAAATGAGATACCTGAGAAAGGTGGTCCAAGTGACAAGAAGGGACAAAGTCCGCAATCAGACAATACATCAAGATCTTGATACCCAGCCCTTACTAACCCGAGTGGATCAGTCACAGTTACGATGGTTTGGACATGTGTGCAGAATGGGAGAAAATCGGCCACCATGGCAAGCATGGGAGGCTAAGAACCAGGGAACCAGACCTCCGGGACCACCCAGGGTGCGCTGGGAAGACAACATCCGACAGTCCCTGACTGACAGAGGAGTGGAATGGAACAAAGCCAGAAAGAAAACTGCTGATAGAGACGTCTGGCGATCTCTCTGGCAAACCTCTACACCCCAAGGTAGAAGAGGAGCGACTAAGTAAGTAAGTAAGTAAGATATGGAAATTCATCTCGGAGCGAATTATGGTGTTAGATCTGAAAGAAGAAGATAAAATTATCAATATTGTTATTGTGTATGGGCCAAATGAAGATGAGCGAGTTGATGTTAAAGAAGAATTCTTTGAACTGCTCCAAAGGACCATAGATGACTGTCACCATGAAATTATCCTCCTAGAAGATCTAAATGCCAGAGTAGGAAATGATCACTCTAGATGGGGTGGAGTGATCGGGAGATATGGTGAAGATGTTTTGAATGATAATGGCAAGCGACTTCTCAGATTCTGTAGGGAACAGAACCTTGTCATTACAAACACAAAATTCCCCCACAAGCGTATACATGCATACACAAGATGTGAACCTTCAAAGAAGGAAAAATCCATTATTGACTATGCCATAGTTAGGAAAAGTTCATTTAAGTTTGTGAGAGATGCCAGAGTCATGAGAGGACCAGAGATTGGAAGTGACCACTATCTGGTCACAATAAAGAGAACAACTGAAAGAACTGCTCCAACAAGGCAACACCGACAACCGTGCAAGAAACCAAGCAACCAAGAAGGGATGAGGATTAAGGCATACAGGCTAAGAGAGCCAGATATTAGGGCTAGATACCAGGAGCTTATAGTGAAAGCAATAGGAACTGAAGAAGAACCATCAGAGGACACTGAAACCCTCTGGTGCAGATTCAAGAATATCCTTACAGCAGCTGCAGTAGAAGCATGTGGTGACGTCCCAAGTGGAAGGCGGGGACATAGGACACCTTGGTGGACAGAAGAAGTCAAACTGAAAATAGGAGAAAAGAAAAGGGCATGAAAGCAATACCTGGCAGCCAGGAACACAGCTGAAGAAATAGAGAAATATAAACAATATGTGGCACTCAGAACAGAGACCAAAAATATTGTGCTTAAAGCAAAACAGAAATCATGGGAAGAGTTTGGAGAAAAGTTGGAAAAGAATGCAAGAGAAAATCAAAAACTCTTCTACAAGACCCTCAAGAACATGAGGAAGGAGAAAGAGTGCCCACTGAAATTCATAAAAGACAAGGAAGGGGCTCTGCTTACTTCTTCAGATAATATCATGGGCAGATGGAAAGAATACTTCTCAGAGCTCCTTGGCTTGAGGGAAGTCATGACCCAGAAATAATGGACCTCACTGCCGAGAAGGAAATCATCCATGAGGATGATAACATCAGGATGGTAGAGTTGAAGGCAGCTATTGAGAAGATTAAGCTGGGAAAAGCAGCAGGTCATGATGGTATAACACCAGAGATGGTCAAATATATGGGTGTCGCAGGTGAGCGCCTTCTACTAAAGGTTCTGCAGGCAGCCTGGTGTAGTAAAACTATACCAAAAGATTGGGAGATTGCCATCATTATACCTATATTTAAAAAAGGTGATAACAGATAATGTGAAAACCACAGAGACATATCCCTCCTCAGCGTTCCTGGTAAAAGTTACTCTAGAATTCTCGAGCAGAGACTTAGAAGTCTGGTAGAGCCACAGCTGGATGAGGCCCAATGCGGCTTCAGAGCAAACCGAAGTACTCAGGACCTAATCTTCACACTGAGACAGATGAGTGAAAAAACCCTTGAATATAAGAGTGAAATGCACCTATGTTTTTTGGATCTGGAAAAGGCATTTGACAAAGTACCCTGGAACAAACTCTGGGGCTGCTTGGCGGGGAAAAACATTCCAGCAACCCTGATCAGTGCAATACAGAGTTTCTACAAAAGCTGCAGAAATTATGTAAGAACAGCAGACCAAAAGTCAGAAGAATTTAAGACCACCAGCGGTGTTAGACAAGGTGATATTCTCTCACCTTACCTCTTCATTCTTATGATGGATGATGTCATCAAGGCCTGTAAGGAGAAGACAAAGAAGTATTATGTAGGGTACTGGAAGATAAGACCAATCTGTATATCCAAGCTGGCATTTGCAGACGATGTGGCCCTGATAGCTAAATCAGAGGCACACATTCAGTCCAACTTACTTGTCTGGAAGGAAAAGCTTGAAAAGAGAGGGATGACCATCAGTATCTCCAAAACTAAAACCATGGTGATCTCAAGAGAGGAGAAGAAACACCAGATCATGATGGGACAGTATGCATTGGAGCAGGTTAACCAGTTCAAATACCTTTGAGTTGTATTAGACCGAAATGGAGGCATTAAGACCGAGCTGGCTACATGAAAAGCAGCTGCTGGGAGACTCTTCTAGGCCATAAACTGAGGGTTTCTTAGCAAAAGAGAAATTGGCAAGAGGACGAAAATGGCTGTTTACCGCTCTACTTATGTACCAGTCCTGACCTATGGGTGTGAATCATGGGCAATGACAACAGCTCACAGAAGCCAGCTGCAGGCCTCGGAAATGAGATATCTGAGAAAGGTGGTCCAAGTGACAAGAAGGGACAAAGTTCGCAATCAGACAATACGTCAAGATCTTGATACCCAGTCCTTACAAACCCGAGTGGATCAGTCACAGTTACGATGGTTTGGACATGTATGCAGAATGGGAGAAAATCGGCCACCATGGCAGGCATGGGAGGCTAAGAACCAGGGAACCAGACCTTCAGGACGACCCAGGGTGCGCTGGGAAGACAACATCCGACAGTCCCTAACTGACAGAGGACTGGAATGGAACAAAGCCAGAAAGAAAACTGCTGATAGAGACGTCTGGCGATCTCTCTGGCAAACCTCTACACCCCAAGGTAGAAGAGGAGCGACTAAGTGGAAGTGGCGAATCCTGAATGTAACTAGAAGAGGCAGGGTCAGAAGTGACGAAATCAGGAAAGAAGTGAAGACAGAATGGACAAGTACTAAATTACATCTAGAGACAACACATCAAATGGTTTGGACATGTGTCAAGACTTCCACAGGATAGTGCAGCACAGAGAGCCGTGTCACTTAGACACAACAGAAGCACAGCTAAAGGTTGGCCACACAAGGGATGAAAGATGCAATGACCAACGTCATAAATACCAGCATTACTGTCAAGGCTTACACCCGATGCCTCTTCAAAACCACGTGCTGAAAGGCCAAGCAGACCTGGAGGAGGAGAGGAAGAAAAGCCAGACAAGTTTGCATACATGTGTTGTTGTTGAATTCTACAGTGCATACATTTCTAGACTTTTTATGTCATATTCTCCTATTATGTCCTCTGTCTAATTCTCATGTTATTTCATCTGTCCCATTCTCCTATTATGTCCTCTGTCTAATTCTCATGTTATTTCGTCTGTCCCATTCTCCTATTATGTCCTCTGTCTAATTCTCATGTTATTTCGTCTGCCCCATTCTCCTAATATGTCTTCTGTCCCATTCTCCTTTACATCTTCCGTCCCTTTCTCCTATTACATCCTTTGTCCCATTCTCCTGTTATGGCTTCTGTCCCATTCTCCTGTTATGGCTTTTGTCCCAGTCTCAAAGTGCCACCTGAGCAGTCAGACTTGTGTAGGGTCATAATCTCACTGAGCCAGGAATGCACAAACTTTCCTGCAGGTGCCATGGAGGTGGAAATTTAGCAATTAATTCAAGATAATGCTCGCTCAGAGGATTTGATCGTTTACACAGACAGTTAAGTGTCAAGAGGCAAAAGAAGTGCTTGGGGTTTCTTAGCAAAATTTAATGGTCAACATTCGCTGCAGGAGAGCCTAGAATATGATACTACAACATCAAGCTTGAGAGTGGAGGTGGTCACTGCAGCTTTCCGCTGGCTAGAGAACACAACACACACACACATTGTGATTGTAACAGACATGTATAATATAACTGGTCACCACATATATGTATGTGGAATGTAACTGGTCACCACAGACATGTATGTTTAACTGCACACCACAGCTGTGTGTATCAGATTCAAAAATCTCTGCAGCTGTTTGCATGAAATGCCCAGATTTCCCCAACAGTCAGTGGGTGTGACTTTTTACTGTAATGACAAGCTTATTTATCATTTGGAGATGTCACAACTGTGACACATTAATCAAAAGTTTCCTGGTGATTTTGTTCTAGGTTGGAGAAACTGCTACTAGTGACAGTTTAGGTAAATCAACCATTTATCTTTTGTTTCTCTCTTTGTTTCTGCGGGCCCCCTTCCCCTTTTCCTCCCTTCCTCCTAAGGTCAGTGTGTATATGGTGTTATTTTTGTAATAAATATGTCTAAATCTCACATGTTACTTTTCCTCTCCTTCAGATTGCCAATGCACCAGAGATAGAGCTAGACAATGACATGAGACAGTTGGGATTCTTCTCTATAGAACCAGGGGACACTATTCTAGTCTCTTGGTGATATCTGCTGCTGTGATCAATCACATTGAACTCCCTCAGAACTGTGATAATGAACATTCAAACTTTATACTTTATCATATGCTTGTGTGTGTTGCCAGAAGTATTACAGCCACTGGACAGACAAAGTGAACATTCACATTTGTAGTACACAGTTTGTTTTATCATCATGATTTAACAGCCAAAGTAAATCAAGCCAGTTTAGTTTGACAGGAAAATTATGTTTTTTGGTTGGAGTCTGTCAAGAGTCTGAGAATTCAGCTTGAAATTTAGATGATCATAAGTGTCTTTAAGATTGATTTGATAAATCAGAAGTTCTGTCTAAAAGTGTGTATAGGCATTTGAAGAGAACTGAACAACGGCTGTGGAAAGGTGATGTCGCAGTCTTATCCAACGAGAATGTGTATGTGCCTGGGCAACAGTTATCACAGACTCAGATGGGTTCTGGTGTGTCCCTCTTGCTGGTGATAGCCTCTGTAGTTAGTGTGTGCTTCCTGTGCTGATAGTTCCAGGTGTTTCTCAATGTGCTAGCTTCCCATTTCATTGCAAATTCCAGAGTTGCAAAACACTACATAATACAACTTCTTGACTTTGTTATCTACATCTTTTTGAATTTTACAAGGAATGTTTTCCTGGCAATCAGGAGACCCATCTTTTCCCACACTGCCAACAGTCAGCCCTGTAATGTCATAGATATATGTACTGCGCCAGATTTTTTTCAGATAGCTTACTCAAACAATTTTGATGTGTATATATACTTTACGGTACACACAGCATCGGTGTGTACGTGTGTGTCTGCCAGTCTAGGTGTGAGGACATGGCATAATGAATGTCACGACAGGGTCATCAGATTATGACATTGCAGGAACTTGTGTGGAGAATATGTCAACAAACCATTGTACATGACAACTCATAAATATAAAAATACCAACTATTGCCAAGGGTTAATCCCTTTGTGTTATGCGTGTGTTACTGTTGTTGTTATAATTACATTAGAAATATCATTTCCTCTGCTGAATGTGCACAGAAACAACAAATATAGAGGTGCTCACATCTTATGAGACTGAAACCCTGTTAGCTAGCTTGCTGTGTGAGTCACTGTATAGATTGTATTTTTGGACTCAAGGGAATTATGAAAATATGTAAAGAAAGAGAATTCTGTTGGATATGGGAGTGCAGCCTGGGGTAGCCAGACAGAAACCTTTAACTAAGGGCACAAGATGCCTGTTTTATCAACATTCGGTTAGTCATTTCTGTCTGTGAGGCTAATAAGGTGCATCTATGGGTTATTCCATAGTTTTGTGATAAAAGTCTTTAAAAACCTTAATGAAAAACCTGCTCAGTGCAATCTAGGTGAAGTATCGTTCTATTTAACTGTTTCTGTATCGTCACACTTGATAGAAGTTTTTAGGAGCAAAACCCCATTGCTGTCGACGCTGCTTATCAGTGACAAGTCACTAAGGTGTGCTAATCTACACAGATGGGTCCGTTATATGAGGACATTAGAGTGCATGGAAATTTACAGCTCGCTCTGCAGGTAGAAGAGTCCAAGAAGCAAGCGATGTCTTCTCCATGACTACCAGCAGCATGACGATGGAGGTGACACAAGCTTTCATGTGCCTGGTATCATAGGACTATTCTCGCATGTGTGTGCTTTTGACCATGATAAAATTGGGCCGAGGCAGTCTCCATCGCCAGAGAGTGGATGGAGTTATTGTGAAACTCTCCCTTGTGTGCAGTTACCTTTAGATTTGTCCCAGTTCTTGTAGGTGTTGTTGATAATGAAAAAGCTGATAGATTGGCAAGTTTTGCATTAGTTGCAGATGGCTGGCCATAGATCACACGGACATTGATAATGCCCTTAAGGAGATCAGACAATCTGAGGATTTGGGGAGCTGTGTGTCCGCATTACTGCTGAGAATACAATAATTTAGAGTAAAGTGAGTGAGAGATGTAATTAACACCTGGTGACACAAAGTGCCATCATTTGAATGAGAATCCCCCAGGTGCAAGTCCTAGAAACCCTGTTCAACCGCTAGGTTATATTTAGGGCATCCGATGACAGCCAGGATGTCGCTTTAAAACAATAACAAAATTGCTTCCCATTTTGGGACAAAGTTCTAATGAGTAAATTGGGAGTAAAGATTGGCACAGTTAAGCATGAGAGTCACACTGATCATACTAAAAGTCTTGCTAATAGGCATAGGACTGACACTATAAACCGTGCGGCGCTGGTGAATGTGTTGAAGTGGAGAATCTGAGCACCTATGGATGTGTCCGGAGTGCATTGAAGATAATCCAGCTCATAAATCGTGACTGGCAGGGCACAAGACAAAAGGCTGCTAACAGACTAGTGACCACTATCACAAATTATGGACCCTTTTCCACACCATCGGACGTACAACAAAGTTAAAAAGGACCTTTATCCACGCCGTCAGGTATATTGGACACATAGTGCTAGGCCTATTTTTTATAGACCAATCGGCACTCGATGGGTGATGTAGTCAACATCACATTGATCGCCTTTACTTCCCAGGACTTTGCCTGACGCCCATTTAAGGCTGGGTCGACCAGGAAGCCAAGATCATTTTCTTCAAAAAGTCCTGCTCATCAAGACCTGAACCAGCGACCTTCAGTTACGCAGGCGAGCACCTAGCTGCTACACCGCGGAGGTTCTCTAACACCACATCACAAGGCATGCACTGAAAAGAGGAAAATGTCATGATGTGGTCAGACTGCCAACAGTTGAGAAAGTAGATTTTCATCACTTACACACACAAATAGTCAGGGATAAGGAATTGTACAAGCACCAATGTGAAGAATCAAGCCCCAGCACCAATGCCTTGCCAACCTTTGCCATCTTCAACGTTCTTCAGTTCAAGTGCTGAAACCTCTCCATGCCACCCTTGCGATCTTTAACGTTCTTCAGCTCAAGTGCTGAAACCTCTCCATGCCACCCTTGCGATCTTTAACGTTCTTCAGCTCAAGTGCTGAAACCTCTCCATGCCACCCTTGCCATCTTTAACGTTCTTCAGCTCAAGTGCTGAAACCTCTCCATGCCACCCTTGCCATCTTTAACGTTCTTCAGCTCAAGTGCTGAAACCTCTCCATGCCACCCTTGCGATCTTTAACGTTCTTCAGCTCAAGTGCTGAAACCTCTCCATGCCACCCTTGCGATCTTTAACGTTCTTCAGCTCAAGTGCTGAAACCTCTCCATGCCCACCCTTGCGATCTTTAACGTTCTTCAGCTCAAGTGCTGAAACCTCTCCATGCCCACCCTTGCGATCTTCAACGTTCTTCAGCTCAAGTGATGAAACCTCTCCATGCCATGACAAACGATTGCAAACAATCATCTTCCTCTCTGTCTGTTTCCATTAATTTTTCCAGTGGTCACAATAGATAACAGTTTCCCTGTTCTCAGAATGTGGCCACACAAAAATTCTGTTTCATGTTTGTGATAAGCTGTTTTTGAGTGTTGGCCCCTTTCAAAACATGTATCTTTTTGGCTGTCCAAGATATTTTAAGCATACTTGTGTGAAACCAAATCTAGGGGACCTAGGAAATTGTTCGGTTTGTTTTCGTCGACGATTCACAGCTGTGTGTTAAAACTGGCTCAATTTTGCACGCAAGAAAGAATTCTTTTTCTTACTTCCCTTGACATGGATTATTTTACAAAATGCAGTCTTCTCTGTGCCTGTCTTTCGACTGGTAAGTAATCCATCAACTGTAACACAGTTCTCCCTCGGATTCCTGCACAAAAAATGAGATTTTTAAAAAACATGTCAGTATACGAGATTTACTTTCTGACACGTTTTACAGCTTTGATTTGTAGCCTAAATGTTGCCTTGAAATTTGATGAGTGCTTCGTGTCCCTAGAGTTTCCTGTTCAACTGTTTAAGCGGGTCTCAAATGACAGCCAAGTAAGCAATCAGTGATCATCCGTTCAGGAGCCCATGTTTTCATCTTTCAGCTGCAGTGTTTCCGGTACATGTCGAGTACCCCTCCATGCCATTACAAAAGGCAAGTCAGAATTCTGAACATACCCAGCATGCAACAGAGTAGACAAAAAATGCATCATGAAAGTGTCTATAAATTACAACAATAAAAGTAGCTATGACGACCTTTCAGAAGCATTGGATGGCAACTTTGGGTGTAGTGGCCCCCGGGCTGGGAATCACTGTAATAAAGAAATATGTGACCGCTGGTAGAGTCATCATCATCATCATAAACCACTTCTGCCATTGAGCGACGTGGGTAGGAATAATTTGCGATCCAGTGCACGTTGGCTGCCACTGACTATTGTCATGCCGTGAAGGCGTAGAGTGTCTTTAATGTTGTCGATCCATGTTTTCCGCGGCCGTCCTCTTGCTCTTGTAGTTGATCTTCTGAGATGTAGTGCTTGTGATGGTATTTGATCTTGCTGCATTCTAACGAGATGGCCAAACCACTTGATCTGCTGTTTCTCGATGAATCTAGTACAAGGTGTCATTCCCACAATTTGCCTGATTGTTTCATTATTCACTCGATCTTGTATGGTGAGGTTGGATGCTTCTCTCAGGCACCTCATCTCGCAGGTGGTAATTTTGCGTATATGGGCTTTAGATAGTGTCCATGTTTGGCACTGGTAACTTAATGTTGGAATAAATATGCTATAATAATAATCTGTCTCTTTGCACTCATAGTTAGCTGGTAGAGTAAAAACTTATATTCCGATTTTTCACTCTATCTCGTCCGGCGCTAGATTCGATCATCTTAGCATAGATTTTCCCAGTGTGACTGAGGAACGATATTCCGCTGTAATTAGTAAAGTCCCTCTCACTTCCTTTATTTTTCCACAGCGGGACAATGACAGCGGTCTGCCAATCTGATGGTGTTTCTTGATTTTCCCATGCCACCTGAAATATCCTCTTTAACCATATTGCTCCCGTTTCTCCTGCTGCCTTGATGGCCTCAGCTGGTAGATCATCAATACCTGTCGCCTTGTCAATTAGTAATTAGTATTTTAATTAGAAAATCGATTGAACGATTTACTAATTATAAAAACATGTATTGGCAGCAAAAAGCAGCTATAAGAATTGATAACCGTTTGAGAATATTTTAGAGCATAAAGAGGGAAGTTCGACAAGGTGGTGTACTATCACATAATTTGTTTTTTTAAATTAATTAGTGGATAAATAATTAGATCTATCGTGGATGTGCCAGGAATTGTGGTTGGTGGTCATTTCATAAACAACCCGCGTTATGCTGATGGATGACACAGTCTTGATAGCGACAAGTCAGAAAGAACTACAGGAATGGAAAGATACGGTGGTGGTAGAAAGTGATGTCCAAATCCAAGTCCTTTTGAGAAAAAAAATGAAAAGGTCGACCACTGTAGAAAGGGATAAATTGGGCCTCAGTCTGAATAATAGAAAGACAGAAGTAATTTGTGATTAAAAAAAAAAAAAGAATAGTGCCTAAATGTATAGTAAAAATCCTAGATTATATTTTAGGACAGGTATTTAAATTAAAGTATCTAGGTTAGTTGCGTATCCTTTACAGGACGTTGCAGAACCAACCCTGTTGTGTGGTTTTTCTAGGCAAATTTACGTCCAGTAGTTTGTCATTGCTTCCTGCACGGTCGGCTTTCTTGATACCACTGTCGAAACCAACACAAGGCGCAAGTCGCATGGCCCGCAGCTGGGATCGAACCCGGCATTCCGGCATTGCTAAGCGTTCGCATCGACTTAGCCACAGAGCCGATAAAGTATCTAGACACATGGATAAAATTCGATGGAAGATGTATCACAGAGATAAGGAACAGGATTTCAGGAAAAGAATTCTTGCATGCTATATAGAGCCAGTTTTAACATACGACTGTAAAGTCTGGGCAATCAGTAAACAAGGCGAACTATTTCTTGAGGCCTCGGAGATGTGGTTTTACAGAAGAATCCTCAGAAAGCCTTGGACAGCTAAGAAGAGCCACCAAGATGTTTTGAAAGAGGCGAGTACTTGAAGACAACTTATCACAAACATCAGAAAGAGACAGTCATCATTTATTGGTCATGTTATAAGAAGAGGGAAACTTGAACATATTGTGACCACTGGAAAGATCTGTGGAAAGACACAGAGGAAGACAGAACAAGAATATTCTTGACAGCCTTTTGTCATGACATGAAGGGGTGCCAACACCAAAACTGATACACGCAGTTGCGGATCGCAAATTGTGGAAAAGCATGCTCGCCCAGTCGGCAATGCACTTGATGATGATAGTTAGTTAGTTAGTTAGTTGGGTTATCCTCATTGCACTCCGGACATGTCCATAGGTGCTCAGATCCTCCCCTCAGTATGAACCCCAACGTACCAGTTCTATGTTGATTAACAAGTCTTCCGGCGTATCTGGTGTGCGTCTCGTTTTTTGCTGTACCGATCTTAATTCCCAAGTCTGCCATTCTGGCGAGTGATGTGGATTCACTGCCACCAAAGTCCTCTATCCTTCCCATTTCTCTGAGGGCATTGATAATGTCAGCATGATCCATAGGCTGACCGTCGGTAGTGATAGCGGATCCAGCCTAACTGTCAGCTCTTTCATTTCCATCGACGCCTGCGTATCCCGGAACAAAAATAAAGGTGACTCCACGCACAGTGGACTTCTGTAATGATTCAAGCCATTGTCTTCGCACTGAACCTGCCTGAACCCTCCGGATCATACTCATTGAATCACTGAGTATACAGTTATACACACGCGGGTGTATTTTTGTGTTTCAAGCCAGGCAAGCGCTTGCGTCACTGCCATCACCTCCATCGTCATGCTGCTGGTTGTCATGGAGAAGGCGCCGTTGGCTTCTTTGACTGTTCTGCCCGCTGAGCGTGCTGTAAATGCCCATGCGCTTCCTCTTTGGCGTATAACGGATCCGTCTGTATAGATTATTACATCTGCTTCGTCTGAATTTTCACCGATGAGAGCGTTGACCTCTGCATTAACAGCAACAGGATTATCTTCTCTACATCGCCTGTTGAGTGTGACAATACAGGAAATGTACAGACAAACGCCTGAGGCACAGGTATCCATTCTGCACCAGGTATGATGTCGGTTAGGCTGCATATTTGCCTAATAACGTCTTCTGCCCGACCTAGCCATGATTTCCCCCTCTTCAGTCTGTCGCCCTTTTCACTAAAAAGCGCTTGATGCAGTGGGTGTTTCTTATCAGCACATATTTTGAGATATGCCCGAGCCCTCCACATCCTGATCCTTTGGTTCATTGTTGGAAAGTCAAGTAGATACCTCATTGCTCCACAGGATGTGTCTCTTGTACATCCCAAAATAATGCGCATGGCTTCATTTTGCACCTTTTCGAGTCGTTCAATCTGGGTAGCACTGACAGTGAGGATGACCAGAGTGTATTCAATGGGGGAAAGGACCAGACCGTAGAATAGAAGTATTAGTAGTCTTTGCTCTATATTGGAAGCAGCCATAATCCTCATTGCAGATAGACCTTTGCGTGCTTTTGTTATCACATGGTCAACGTGTTTCCTGAATGACAAGCTGCGATCGAACCTCACCCCGAGAAACGCCTTAACATTGGTTCTGATCAATACACTATCACGCATTTTCACTTCTGGTAAGTCCGACTTGACAATGTGATTGTTCAAAGAGAACCATGACACTGATGCCTTCGAAGGATTGACATAGGCATTGGAACCATCACACCAAGCGGCAATTCGATCGAGTTCTTTGTGTATAGTGCTGGCGATCTCCTGTCTATCACGCCCTCGTCGATAAATCAAAATGTCATCAGCAAATGACAAAGTCCTTCCCTTTCCATTCAACTGCTGCTCAGTGATCATCACCGTATAAACGTTGAATAAGACTGGTGATAGCGGTGATCCCTGTGGCAAGCCTGGACATATCGTTTGCGGTTCTGAGGACCAGCTACCACATCTTAGTACAATCTTTCTCTGCAACAGAACCGCAGCAATCCAGCAGATCAGAATAGGATTAACTTCCAGTTTAAGCAGTAATTGCATTAAATAATCATATGGTACTTTATTGTAGGCATCTTCTAAGTCCAACACTGCCGCACATGTCTCTTCTTTAATCTGAAATCCCTCGTACACATCGTAGGCGAAAAATGCAGCATTGAACCATGTCTCTTTATTTTACCTGTAACCTCCAAGTGTTGGTGGGAACTTATCATGTAGTTCCAAGTAGGTGGTCAATCTTTGTGCGACAATTTTTTCCAAAAGTTTGCCAACAGTATTCTGCATCGAGATGATTCTGTAGCCGCAGATCTTTGAGTAGTCTTTATTGGGCTTTGGTAGTGGGAACAAATAACTATGGAGCCATTCCTCTTGTATCTGGCCACTCTGGATGCTGATATTGAATTCCTTTGCCACGCTTTTCAAATCAGTATTCGACATCATCAGCATGTCGTTTTATCGGATGCCGTCAGGGCCTGGAGCAGTGCTGCGCGATTTCTTGAGGCAAGTTCTCAAGGTATCTGCAGTGATTGTGAGATCAGTGCCTAGCACAGTGTTCTCGCACAGCATCGACAGTTTCATCTTAACCCCTATTCTTGTAGCTGCATCTTTTTGGTTAGTTTGCTCCAAGTAGCGCGCCAGAAGGGTTTTTCCTTTATCAGCATCAGTTCTCTGCCATATAAGGTCTGTACCCTGAAAATCAGGGATACCCCTTGGTCGTGCGGCACCGTGCATGCTCCGTTGAAGGCGCCAGAATGTCACAAGAGATCCCTCGGAGCAAACGCTCTTGCAGAATTCGTTCCATTTCGCTGTCGTAGCTTCCTTCGCATTAACTTGAAAGCCACTGTCTGCTTGTTGACCTCATCTTTCAGACTGATCAGGCGTTCTGAAAGTGACGGATCAATTTTCCTTGCCTTTTGTCATGCCTTGACAGCTTTCCTTTTTTCTAGCCACGCCATGTTGACTACTTCATTCCACCATGGTGGCTGGGCCCATCTCTCCCGCCGTCTGCGATCTGCTCTTGTTTTATGTCGTCAGATTTTGCTAATGGCATCTTGCCCTGTACGGTCATATATAAAAGCAGGCACATTGATTACATGACCTTTGTTGTTGCTCTTCTCTACCAGGACGACGCAAGGAAAGTGATCACTGTCGTGGTATCCCAGTGTGCTCCACCTGCATCCTGATGCAATGGAGGGAGACACTAGGGCCAGGTCAATTACGCTGTCAGAATCCCCTTGTCGTGTTGCCATTCGGGTAACCTTTCCGTCGTTCAAGCATACTAGATTGGCAGACACTAGGGCATCCTCCAAGTCTTCCCCTGTTTATTAGTGATAACATTGCCCCACTGGTTTCCTCTGGCGTTGAAATCTCGTCAGTAAAAGACTTTCTTTTCCTCCGTCTGGAGCAAACTCTGCCATTTCGCGGTATCCACCTTTCCATTGCAGGCGTACACATTGACAATCACAAACTGGGCCGGGCCCATCACTCTGACTGCGTGCACTTGTAAGTCGTCATTATTCCACTCAGACATGTCCACCTCAGACACCGGTATGTGGTCACGAACAAGAATGAGCTGTCCGAGGTGCCGTCTATTGTAGAAGGATTGGAAGCCCGCAGTTTTAACGATCTCGTCACCGAGGTGTGTTTCCTGTAGGACAACAATGTCGTTGCTGTAGAGGAGCTTCTCAAAAATGGGTCGGCGTTGACTAAACGAAGCGCAGTTCCAGTAGAGAACACGAACATACTTTAAACTGAGTCTCTCACATTTCAGTCGCTTCCTGCAGGCGCCACCGTGCTTGCGTGTTCGCGTTCTCCTTGTCCGTCTACGGGTTGTTTTGAATTGGTAAATAGTCGCCATCGGACGTCGAATACACCCTGAGGGAAGTCTAAACTCACGTGCATGTACTCCATTGCACGGTTCAGACCCCATTCCGATGAAACTTTCTTGATGATAAAAGTGCAATACACAGGGACCAGCACTCTCCTGTAGAAAAGTGTACACAACTGCAATCGATGATCAACATGGCCGCCTTCGTGTCGGCAGCGGTTTTCAGGGCATGTTCCAGATGTGGAAATTTAGCGACAGCTTTTGCAGCCCCCTCTGTCAAACATGTCTCACGGAAAGTGCAGGTTAGCAATCTAATTCTTGCCCGCCATATTCACACACAAAAGCCAGGCTTATTAATACTGAAGATATGCTGTTATATTCATATATATAATGTATATATTAAGGAGGAACTAGGCGCCGCCGGTGACCTTTGTGACCTGTTTGTTTACACATTGTAAGTTGTCATTTGAAAGGATGTCTCTAATGGTTCAAACATAAAAGTAATTTAATGTTGAACAGACCTGAAGTATCATCAGTAAGATGTCATCTCCACGATGAAGTATGGAGATTAGCTGTAAAATAAAAGGGGCTCTCCTTCGAACTTCGTCCCCAAATTATGGCGGCCAAATACCCTTACAGGGCCTTAGTTGTGTGTAAAATAAAATGCGGAGTGCCTGGCGAGGAACAAATCGCGGCAAAACTAGGATCGCCTCCGAATAATGGGCCATTATTATGGAGGGCTAACAAATGCTCTAACAGGGTCTCAGCGATATGTTAACAATTGCGGATCTGTATCTGCGACTAGGCGGCACCGCCAACTTTATCCCTCGCGCCGCTACGCATGGCATGAATTAGGGGCTAAACTAGATGGCTGTGACTCACAAGCAAATAAATTGGAGGAAGTTACAGAAGATGCAAAAATGTAACAGGGTCACTACCCATTCTGCGTTTTAATGTTGTGCCGTCTGCACAACAGGCCCCTCATGGCCTTCACCCTTATTTCTAGAATCTTCCTACTGGGCTCAATATTAGTTAATAGTGCAGAGTGTCCTTAACCCGAGCTTCCAGTAGTTGGCCAGACATCATGTGACTCTCCCGTCCAGCACAAAAACAATAAGTTGTTTTTCACATTGTTGGAATACTTTCACTGGCCCGGCTAGTTACAGTCGCAGTAGAGCCTGCAAAACATGTGGCTAGAAGGTTCTACGAACGAGCCACTGATACTTATATAAGTCCTTGCCCGGAACCTTTGAGGAGAACAGCGGAGAACAGCAAAGAAGGACAAGAACCGGAGAGGGCCAGAGCAAGAGAGGAAGCAAATGTTTACAGCAGTAAGAATTAATGTTAGGAGGCATGGAGACTCAGACAATTTGACCATCGCGTTGACTGATGATACGGGAAGAGAGCATATATACCGATTGAGAGGAGTGCAATTTATGGTTATTGCTCAACCCCCTTTGGTAGAGGAACAAGGGTCAGATTCTGGACTAGACACGGATCCGGGATCTAGCGACGAAGAAGGAGAAGCGGGAGCACAGTAACTAAATAGCTCTTTATGGCAGGCTAAGTCCGATGGTAGTACCAAACCGCACTAGAGGCTAGGTGGCAGTTAGATGTTAGAGTGAGTTAACTAAATAACTAGAGATAAAATACACAACGCGACCTCAATAGTATGTAGCCATAGAGAGAACACAGCGCTATTCACAATATTGATATTGTTTGTGTCATTGCTGAAGTGTCACAATAAAGATTTCAGACATGAACAGTTGTTTCTAGACGTTCTGAATACAAGCCTCAGAAGTGCGTGAGAAGCGTGCAGCTAACAAGACATCATCATTAACACCACCACTATTGACACGACCATTCTTTTCCTCGTCTATATTCTTCAATTCGACTCCTTCTGTAGCAAACATAAAGACGAACCTGGGTGTGATATTAACATATGCTTCGAAGAAGAGAGCTTTGCTACAAAAGCTGCTGCTCGTGAGTCCCAGCCGTTTTAGTTTAGCCTCAAAACACGGTGCGGGGGATACGCTCGGTGGTGAGTTTAATCGGAAGAACACTATCGCTAACCTGCATCGGAGCGAGTGGTCTCCCGGTCATGTTGCTATTATCGTGTGTATTGTTGTTTTCTCTCGAAAGTGTCATCGGACAGTAATCCTAGTTTTGCCATGATGTGTTCGCCGGAGGAAGTCCACATTTTACACACGACTGAGGCCCTGTTAGGGTATTTGTTTGGTCGCCATAATATGGGGACGAAGTTCGAAGGAGAGCCATAAATGATATGTAAAATAAAATCTCTGACACTCTTCAAAGTCGTTAGTCGTAATTCCTCTACTCCTGCTTGTTGACAGCTTGAGTGAGTTTGTAAGAAGTGCACTTTGAAAGTGAGAGTCAGACTCTGACAATTCTCATTCAAGTCAGTTAGCAATGTGATCATTATTAAACACAGGTATTTTGTTTTTCTCCTGCCAGTGTAAATTTAATATTGTCAGAGATCAGAAATGGAATGGAAGTGCAGATTTTACAAGTTCCAAAGCGTTAAAAAAAATAATATCAAGTTAGGTACCCGGCCAAAACTTCAGCCATGTTTTCTGAGGCATGACATATCTGATGCATGGTTTCATTATTAGATGAGGAGGAGCTAATTCTTCCATTCCATTCTGGATGAAAACAGCCACCCAGCCCACGAACTGGTAGTTATACTTTGACAGTGTCATACAATAATGCAGCTTTCATATCTGCACTAATTGTAGATATAATCAGGGTAGTCTGTGTTAGCAAACAGTCTGCTGTGTTGTACTAACATACGGCTCCACTCATACAATCATGTGTGGGGTCATCTTCCATTATACCTCATCTCAGCTTCTAAAATTAGAAGATACAGTTTATTGCACCAAGGTTTTATCCTATCTGGATCGACCTTTTCTCCACAGAATGGCTGCTGTCTGCCAAGAGCCTCACAAAAAGCACCAACTCTGAAGCCCCAATAGTGATCCCCAAGGTTTTCCATATAATTTTAGTTGTGAACCAAACCCACAACATTTAGAGCATGGGGTTGACAACTTGACCACATCACCACCACGAGACCCCTCCCCTACCCTTCCCCGCAGATCTTATCTACTTCACAGTCTCAGAAAAAGTCTGTAATAACCCCCAAAAATTTGTTTGTATGAGTCTTTCTGTTGAGCTTCATTTGTTATATGGTATCAGTTGGCCAGCAGCTGCTTTTAGTTAAACACTCTTATGCAAATCCCAAATGGCAGGGAAAAACTTACTTGGAACAGGTCAGAGACCTTCCAGATCTTAAGCTGCTAGTGTTTTTGAAGATCAGTAGTTACTGCCAGTCAAGGGGGACATACAATGGCACACTAGGTTGATGGGGAGGGATGACATCAGTGTGAGTGGTATGTTCCTCCGATGTGTTCCCTGTGTGTGTTTCTTGTGTAGGTTCTGGGGCTCCATGTTAGAGAATAAAAGAATAGACTCACTGCCTCCATAACAAGCATGTCATAGGAGGCAGGTAATTAGGGGTTTCCTTCAAAGTTGGAGCTCATCTATCTGCCTGAGAGGCAAGGAACCAGCACTGTGCATATAGATAAGGCAGATCTGTTTTACAATGTGCATTCAAAACTCCAGTACGGACGGAGATCAGAGTCCAGGGAACACTAAGAAGAACATAAAGAGATGTGTTCAGTTATCAAGTGGCATCAGTTATCAAGTGGCATCAGTTATCAAGTGGCATCAGTTATCAAGTGGCATCAGTTATCAAGTGGCATCAGTTATCAAGTGGCATCAGTTATCAAGTGGCATCAGTTATCAAGTGGCATCAGTTATCAAGTGGCATCAGTTATCAAATGGCATCAGTTATCAAGTGGCATCAGTTATCAAGTGGCATCAGTTATCAAGTGGCATCAGTTATCAAGTGGTGTCCTGTTTCCTGGTTCAAAACATAGGCTGGGTTTATTGAGAAAACTATGGCTATTTGTGAAATATATGGCGGGCTGGGGATCTCACCCTTTGACCATCAGATTAGTGAGCCAGTACACTAGTCACTGGCCAGTGATGCTACTGGGGCAGGGTTTTGTTGACGTCTTTCCAGACAGTAATGTTATCTTGTGCCGTCAGGAGGCATGGGACTCACAGCCCATGGTGGTGGCGAGTGTGACTTGCAAGACTCACCTGAGCTAAGAAAAGTCTTCCACAATTATAGCATGGGATTTCAGGACCGTTGTTGTCAACATTCATGTTTAGTGTGTTTCTTCTCAGACTCTCAGCTCTCATCCTTTCTGCAGTCATTTCTTCCTTCATTCTCATTCCTTCCTGATTTGCCTCCTCCACACAAACCGGTCCATGGCATTTTGTTCTCACCAGTCTGCTTTAATACCCATATCATTCATGTGCCGCTTGCACACATCTTTATACCCTAGTAGAGGCTGTCCTCAGCTTCCTCTGGGGCAGGGTACTTTCAGTCGAAATAACTACAGAGGTTCACAGACTGTCAGCACACACCACCTTGCCAAAAACTTAATTCTAATATCCTATAATGCATTCTATTATATAGCTTTAAAGCAACTTCATGTCATTCCTGTGTTGGAATTTCAGGCTGGCATATATGCCCGACTGCTGTCCACGTCACAGAATCCCCTGCTGCAGCGGGAACCAGCAGGGGAAGCTCCTGTGGAGAACAACGCTGAATATCCAACAGATTATGAAGTATCCTACAGTGAGTTTAAGTATGTGGAGCAGGTTTTGCCCAGACCGACAGTACCAGAGGTTCCTAAACATGAGTCCTACCCAACACCGTCTGGCTGGTTCCCTCCCAATGGTAAAGATTGATTAGTTGTCTTTGAATAATTACGATGAAATGTTATAGTCCTCTAGTTCCTTATGAATAATTAAGATATGTTTCCTATTATGACTGTTTCCATTCAGATTATTGATTATTAGGATAAGATTCTTTGGCTTGTGTCTTCATGATAATTCTTATGTGGAATTTTTGTGTGTCTGATGAACTTTAAGTAATACAGATAGGATTTGCAGTTTGATTGATGTTCTTCTAAATATTAAAATATTCCCAGTTTGGCTGGCGGCCTATGGAAAGTTGAAGTAAGTTGCTCAGTAACTGCTGACTGGTTTTTCTAAATATAAAAATCAAATTCTCACTTGTCTGGTTCTCTTCCAGTCTGAAGTTATAATAACAACTCTTACAGTACTGAGGTTACAATAATAATGATCAAAACCACGCTCCCAGTGATGAATTTACAATAATAATGATCAAAACCACTCTCACAGTACTGAGGTTACAATAATAATGATCAAAACCACTCTCCCAGTGCTGAGGTTACAATAATAATGATGAAAACCACTCTCCCAGCGCTGTTACAATAATAATGATCAAAACCACTCTCCCAGTGCTGAGGTTACAATAATAATGATGAAAACCACTCTCACAGTACTGAGGTTACAATAATAATGATCAAAACCACTCTCACAGTGCTGAGGTTACAATAATAATGATCAAAACCACTCTTACAGTACTGAGGTTACAATAATAATGATCAAAACCACTCTCACAGTGCTGAGGTTACAATAATAATGATCAAAACCACTCTCACAGTACTGAGGTTACAATAATAATGATCAAAACCACTCTCCCAGTGCTGAGGTTACAATAATAATGATCAAAACCACTCTCCCAGTGCTGAGGTTACAATAATAATGATCAAAACCACGCTCCCAGTGATGAATTTACAATAATAATGATGAAAACCACTCTCCCAGTGCTGAAGTTACAATAATAATGATCAAAACCACTCTCCCAGTGCTGAGGTTACAATAATAATGATGAAAACCACTCTCCCAGTGCTGAGGTTACAATAATAATGACCAAAACCACTCTCCCAGTGCTGAGGTTACAATAATAATGATGAAAACCACTCTCCCAGTGCTGAAGTTACAATAATAATGACCAAAACCACTGTCAATTTGGGGTTTTGACTTTTGTGGCCTGGACTGGTTGTGTCCTCACTTCAGCAACCTGGGCGGTTAAAGAGGTTGATGCAGATTCACTTTCCTACTTTGATGTTGAGATGCTGGTCATGATAACATTGTTGTATACAACATAACATCACAGTTGTACGTTGTTTCAAATTCAATTTATATCTGTTGTTGCCAAGCATTGAGACTTGTTATCACCTGCCATAGAGTACCAACGAACTGTCAAGATTATCAAAGCCTAAATTAACCTTCCCTTTAACACTTTATTATCAGTGTCAAACGTAGCCCATAGCACCATCCCACTGGGGAAACAAATATGTTTGTTTATAAAATCTATTTAATAGCTTTGAGGTGATTATAGTGCTCGGCTGTCATGGAGAAGACCTGGGCTTGATTCTGGTAAGGGATGGAGATTTTTTCTGTTGAACAAAATAAAAACCTCATCTGCAGATTAAGTTGCAACTGCACCAGACATGTGGTTGCAACTGCACCAGACCTGTGGTTGTAACTGCACCAGACATGTGGTTGTAACTGCACCAGACATGTGGTTGCAACTGCACCAGACATGTGGTTGCAACTGCACCAGACATGTGGTTGCAACTGCACCAGACCTGTGGTTGTAACTGCACCAGACATGTGGTTGCAACTGCACCAGACATGTGGTTGTAACTGCACCAGACATGTGGCCTGAAAACCTCAGGTTCAAGAGAAAACCTCAAACAAGAATAGAACCCACTGCCTACCCAAAAGCATGTCATAAGAGTCGACTAATTGGAAGCTTCCTTCAAAGTCGGAGTGCTTCTGCCTGAGAGGCAAGGAGCTGTCTGCATACAAATTAGTCAGATCTGTCAAACGGATGCGCATGCAACACTCAGGTTCTGAAACAGGACTGCAGTCCAGAACTGGACGAGCAACCAGAACTTTCCACTGGAGTTTACAGCCGGTGAACATGAAGAAAAAGGAGAAGAAGAAGAATTTTATGATGTGGAGAGGAAACAACAAGAATCAAGATTTCGTATCTATCTGGTGTTAAAAACTCATCTCATATTGGGGGGCAGGAAGATATTTCCCTGTAGTCTACATTCATAATTTCTTGTATTTTACATTTTGTGTGTGCTGTGTTTCACATTCAGGATTCAAATTTAGGCTATCCTCCGAATAATGGTCCTAAATTATCTACGCAGAAAATGAACCCTAACAGCCTCATTACGTCATGCCCTACAAAGATTTAAAAGTTGTAACTCGGAAAATATAAGGAACGAAAAATATGAGGGAAAGGGGGAAGTCTACTACTTACCGATAATTAAATCCTTTATATGTGAAAATTGTGGCACTATAGCGTGATCGTAAATGCCATGTTTTAATTTTCCAACGTTGCTGTAGTCTCGCCAAGCGTCAGTCACAATTCTCCTCCCGGGCAACACATGATCAGCAATGACGCGTTCTAATGTGCGCGCATCTCGCCTCAGGACAACTTCAAACCAGCAGCGGCCACTATGGCGATCTACTAGCCCGACCACCCAGTGACCGTGGCGAATGCGACCATGCTGGTACTTGCGACAGAAGAAGTAGCTCATGTAATTTGTAAGACTTTTTTTCTGGGGCGACTATAGTGCCACCTCCGAGAGTATCCCCCGTGCCGCTAAGTGCGGCGCGGAAGGGGCTAAACTAAATGGCTAGGGCTCACATGCATATACAATGGAGGAAGCTACAGGAGAATCGGTAGCTGCTGCTCGTGAGTCCCAGCCATCTAGTTTAGCCTCTTCCACGCCGAGCGTAGCGGCGCGAGGATACTCTCGGAGGTGGCACTATAGTCGCCGGGAAGAGGTCCGCAACTTACATATAACTGTGGCCCTGCTTTAGAATAGCCCTATCGGGTGTATTCTTCCGTTTCGCTAATTTTTCGTCCGTAGTGGATCCTAGTTTTGCCGTGGTTTAACCGTAAAAAAAAGAATTCGTGCTCAGTTAATCCTACTTTTGACGTGGTTGATTCGCCGCAAAAGAAATGCAAATTTTAGATATGACTGAGGCTCTGTTAGGGTTCATTTTCTGCGTAGATAATTTAGGACCGTTTGTCGGAGGAGAGACCAAATTTATTTTACATTAATAATCCTAAATGAATTTCGCAACAATTTTGCCTGCATTTCAAATTTGTGGATTTTTTCCACAGATGAATTACGATCACAGAAACCGTACTTGGTTCGACGAACCAAAAACCACATGCTTCCAGTATATTCAAGCCTTAAAAGGTTTTATTACGGCATGAATCATTTAGTGTCTGTCAAACAGATCGAAGGAGACATCTGGGTAAGTATTTGCCCCTGCTTGTGCCATCATCGTTATGTGTCCTGCTGATAAGCATAGGCTGTTGTGTTTAGCAATCTCATATGATCACGAATCACAGATGAGGCTATGTCCTTGCCACCGATTGGCTGCATCTAATTTCACTAATCAGTTTATGGTTTTTCTCTGTCTCAACAAGCACTGTCTCATTTGTGTTTGCCACACAGTCTAATAAAAGGTTAAAACGTCTGTCTTGACAAGGACTGCTTCATTTGTGTTTGCCACACAGTCTATTAAACAATATAACCTGTCTCGACAAGCACAGTCTCATTTGTGTTTGCCATACAGTCTAATAAATGATACAACCTCTGTCTCGACAAGGACTGCCTCATTTGTGTTTGCCACACAGTCTATTAAATGATATCCCCTCTGTCTCCTGCACAACAAATATAAAGGAAAACAGGAGTTAGAGTATCTGATAATGACTTACCTGGTAAACTCTTTTGTTCCTGTATTTATCTAGAAGACATTTGAATCAGGTTAACTTGAGACATTACCTAAACACCTCCCCTGTCATGCCCTGTGTGGTACATGTTGCCTGGGATATGCCAGCCTACCTGGGGTAATAACACCCCTTATATCACACTACCTTTGAATGATCCCAGTCTCATACCCTAACTGGGATAATCCTCGTTTCACATCCTACCTGGGATATGCCCACATCACACCCTACCTGAGATAGACCCTAGTGTCACACCCCACCTGAGATAGACTGTCGTGTCACATCCTACCTGAGATAGACCCTAGTGTCACACCCTACCTGAGATAGACCCTAGTGTCACACCCCACCTGAGATAGACTGTCGTGTCACACCCCACCTGAGATAGACCCTAGTGTCACACCCCACCTGAGATAGACTGTCGTGTCACACCCCACCTGAGATAGACCGTCGTGTCACACCCCACCTGAGATAGACCCTAGTGTCACACCCTACCTGAGATAGACCCTAGTGTCACACCCTACCTGAGATAGACCCTAGTGTCACACCCCACCTGAGATAGACTGTCGTGTCACACCCCACCTGAGATAGACCCTAGTGTCACACCCCACCTGAGATAGACTGTCGTGTCACACCCCACCTGAGATAGACCCTAGTGTCACACCCCACCTGAGATAGACCCTAGTGTCACACCCCACCTGAGATAGACTGTCGTGTCACACCCCACCTGAGATAGACCCTAGTGTCACACCCCACCTGAGATAGACTGTCGTGTCACACCCCACCTGAGATAGACTCTCGTGTCACACCCCACCTGAGATAGACTCTCGTGTCACACCACACCTGAGATACATAAGCAAAAGGTACTGGCAAGTATTTTAAAGAAAAACAGTAAAACACAATTTACAGGAATAACAGCAACAACAAAATATAAGAATCAGGCGGTAAAAGACAAGATTAAACAAATTTAAAGGATGTAGTATTGCAACAATTTTGAATTGCAGGTCACAAGTTACAAAAAACAGCATAATTTAATAATGTTCATCCCAATGCGGTTTCTTGGTCCCGTTTGGGGGGGGGGGGGGGGGAGAATAGACTCACTGCGTCCTGGACAAGTGTGTCCTAAAAGGCAACTAATGAGAGATTTGTCCTCCAGAGCCGGAGCAAATCAATCTGAGCTGCAAGGAATCAACAGTCTGCATACAAGTAAGCCATATCTCTAATAAAACAGATGTGCACACAAAATGTAAGTTCTGGAACCAGACTGAAGTCCGGAAGTGGAAGACAGATCAGAACTTTCCGTCTCATTTTACAGCCAGTGAACGCTAAGACGAAGAATAGTGTTCATTTTCTGATCCCCCATTTCTTTTAGAAATAGACACGAAATGACAGATACTGGCTCATATCCTTTGTGTCTCTGGTGTTTTATTGAACACATGATTCTGTGTGACGTGCACAGGGCATTTATTGACTTTGTTGAATTTCCTTGACCAGCAAGATGTCTTGTGATTGTTGTGATTCTGTTTGTCTCCAGGTCCTGGAGTCTGAACTGAGAGATTTCCTGAAGAAGAAAACAGGACTCAGCATCAGGACCCAGGTTCATGAAGTGTACAAGTCCATCTACATTAGGGGTGAACATGCTGCCCTGGTTGCTGAGTTCCTTCTCGGCTGTGGCATGTAAGGTCTCACAGCTGCACTGTGTTTGGTTTGTGTGAGCTGGCAACTGGACAGTGTTCAGTTTGTTTATGTGAGCTGGCAACTGGACAGTGTTCAGTTTGTTTATGTGAGCTGGCAACTGGACAGTGTTCAGTTTGTTTATGTGAGCTGGCAACTGGACAGTGTTCAGTTTATGTGAGCTGGCAACTGGACAGTGTTCAGTTTATGTGAGCTGGGCAATAGGTAGTAGTGGCTGCATTTGGCAAACAGTTTGTATGAACTGAAAGAAAGATGGAGCAACAGTCTGCTTAGTTATATGTACTCAAAGATTTGATGTGAAATAAAATGTCAAATGAAATACAAGTTGAGTTTTGTTATGTTATTACAATCAACAACACTTCACACTGGGTATTTCACTGCATGCTCAGTCCCCCAATTCAGCAGCCACTCCAAAGCACCTCAACTGATTGTTCACAGGAAAGTTGTTAGTGTCTGCTGTCTTGGCCATGAAGACAGACGGCATAGACAAGCTTCATCAAGCTTTACGCCTAGGTCATGCAATTATGTTAGCATCAGGGATTCATCATAACTCCCCCCCCCCCCCCCTGACCACCCCCCCTCATTTTTTTTTTAAAACAGTCTGTACTTCTTTCATGATATCAGCTGTGTCCGTGCATTGGTGCATTACTTTCCAGCAGGTCAGCTTATTCATTACCTCACACTCATACTTGAATCACCAGGTGTTGGAAGAATATTGACATTTGCCGATGATGTTCTTGCATATAGGCAGGGAAGAGATAGGCGACGGATAGCTCACGAGCTACAAGCAACTGTGGACAAAGTGACTGACTGGTGTACCAAAAATGGTGCTGTCATCAACTCAGAAAAGGCAGCTGTTTTGTGGTGTTCTCTGGACAATAGAATTGTAAAAGCTGGTGTGCCAAACCTCACAAATCATTTCAGTAACATCAAATGAGAAAGCAAACTGAGATACCTGGGTATCATTTTTAATAGAAGCCTGTCCTTTAGGGATCATGTGGATGCAGTGAAATGCCAAAAAGGACTCAATGCTCTCAAGATGATGGCAGCAATGGACATGCAACAAAGAATATTGTTCATAATGTTCCAGCATGTGATCCTGTCGGTGATAGATTATGGACTTGGCATGCTTACCATATCAAAGAGTCAGCTGATAAAACTTGAACACATACAGAATAAAGCCATGCGGGTGATTCTGGGATGTACAAGAGATACCTCGGTTGTATTTATGCGCTATATAATTGCACTGCCTACTATTGCAGATAGACTCAGAGTTCTGCAAGCAAAGTCATATCTCAGAGTAGCTGGTGCTGCAATATCAGAAGTTCAACAAATGATTTGTGACAATTTCCGCCCAAGTAATGTGATTGTATATACAGATGGCTCTGTGGTGAGGGGCAGACGAAGTGCATGGGGGTTCATAGCAAAGGTGAATGGACGTCGTTTGGCGCATCAAAGCCTGGCATACGATATCACAATGTCTAGTTTGAGAATGGAGGTGGAGGCAGTCACTTCTGCCTTCCGTTGGCTTGAGAATCAGCTGTACACACATGTTGTCATTGTAACTGACTCACAGAGCATGCTGAGAAAGGTGGAGACAGGCATGCTCCGTGCAGAGTGGCATGCATCACTTCAGAGGTCTCAGGTAGTTAGCATCCTTTGGATATTTTCTCCAGGTAACGCCGGTTTGTTGGGAAATGAGCAGGCGGATAGACTGGCTGGTTCTGCACCACTTGGTGGTAAACCGATGTATGACAAGCTGGAGGATGTTGTGAGGGCCCTTTGGGAGCGAGTGAACAGTGCCGAGGAACATATAGATAATTACCGTCTGAGGAGAACGGCACTGGAAGGAGTTAAAAGGGAATCTAACCGACGCTCGAAACTCGGTGGAGGGGCGAGACGGATATACAATCAGACTGTTACTGGTACCATCAGAATTTTAACTCTGCGCTTGCTGTTGAAGATGGGGATGGAGCGCTTATGGGAGTGTCCCGATTGCTGTGATGTCGATTCTTAATTCAACATTTAACATAGTATTCACATTTATACATGTCTCCTTTCTTAAAAATGGGTATTAATAATGAGCCTACAATTCAGTAACAATTGTGTTGTTATTCAGCGAATTACATAAGACATGCCTACTTGAAGAGACAACTATTAAATTATAGGGAGGATTATATAACAATGACTGTCATAATGTGGCCCGTCAACTGGCGTAGGCGCTCATGTATCTAAACAGATCACTATCCCTAGTTGTCTGGAACAGCTCTATAGACATTCCCCATACCATCATTTCAGCCCATCCAGCATTATCTCTCTTGATCTGCCTCTACCCCTCTTACGACTAATCTTGTCCAATTGTCACGATGTTTTCCAGTGCCTCTTTTCGCATTACGTGGCCAAAGAAGTGTTTGTCTACTTCGTATTGTTGTATAAAGTGATCTACTTTCATTAGCTTCTTTCAAACAATCGTTGTTACTATGACCACAAGTATGTTAATTAAACCGGAACGTACATAACAGGATATGGTCTTTTGTGCAGAAAATATTTTGTTCCTTAAAAAAAGGCGCTATACGCAGAAAGTGCTTTTTAATTCAGAAAAAGCGTGTATAGGACATCCGTGTTTACAAGTTACTGGCGTTTCGTTAGTTTTTGTTATCACCACATAGAACGCCGCCACAAATAAATCAGAGCCGAAAGTCCCAGTTGTAAGTACAATTACAAAAACTAACAGGGCTAAGCGGGTTTAGGCATTGTTTTACTTTTAGTGTTCAATTGTCATTATTTTCCGGAAGTGCTGAGCGGCGAAAACTACGGTAGTAGATTTGAAAGAACCGGAAATGTATAAACTAGGGAAAACGTTTCACATCTGCATCCACCGAGCTGGCACAGGTGTCGGGGCTGGCACAGCGGTCGGGGCTGGCACAGGGGTCGGGGCTGGCACAGGAGTCGGGGCTGGCACAGGGGTCGGGGCTGGCACAGGGGTCGAGGCTGGCACAGGTGTCGAGGCTGGCACAGGTGTCGGGGCTGGCACAGGTGTCGGGGCTGGCACAGAGGTCGGGGCTGGCACAGGGGTCGGGGCTGGCACAGGGGTCGGGGCTGGCACAGGGGTCGGGGCTGGCACAGGTGTTCGGGCTGGCACAGGGGTCGGGGCTGGCACAGGGGTCGGGGCTGGCACAGGAGTCGGGGCTGGCACAGGTGTCGGGGCTGGCACAGGGGTCGGGGCTGGCACAGGGGTCGGGGCTGGCACAGGGGTCGGGGCTGCTGGGACGCATTTTTCATAAATTCCCTGGCAGTCATCAACCCCTTCTTCCCCCCCCCTCCCCCTCCTCCAAACGCACGGGTGAGGGTGAGAGCGTCTCTGGAAATCATTTGTTCATGAGTGAAGTGCACGGGCCCTGAATGGCAAACACTTGTTGATATGTCTGTCTGTCTGTCTGTGGAAACTTCTACTATATTGTTTAAAAAAAAAAAAAAAAAAATAGTTACTGAAAGGAACAAACATACAATTTTGAAAATTCTTCATCTTTGTAATGCAGTAAGTGAAATTACTCAAATTTTACACAAGAATTCCTTAGGGTTCCACTAATCAATTGTCACCTTTTTTTTGCATCTGGGACACGATAGTTTTTAAGTTTAGGCCTTTCTCGTTAGTTTGGCATGTGGCCTCCTCTGGCGTGGATCCGTGACTGCCATCTACTGGGTATGGATGCGATCAGATGTCTGATGTCGGCCTGTGGGATGGCTGCCCACTCTTCCTGGAGTTTATTTACAAGCTAATAAAACCGCGCGATCGATTGGGGGGGGGGGGGGAATATACGGAACATTTTGCTGCTTGATGGTACAAAAAGGTCACATCGGTCACGGTCATCCCGGCGATAGGAAAGAGGTTTTGTTTTCTTCCAAGTGGAATTGTAGCTACAATTCCAAGTGGAATTGTAGCTACCTGACACGCAACACAACAGGCGAATGCAGTGACACAGACCAGACTTCTCCAACGAATGCAGTGACACAGACCAGACTTCTCCAACGAATGCAGTGACACAGACCAGACTTCTCCAACGAATGCAGTGACACAGACCAGACTTCTCCAACGGATGAGCACGGGAAACTCGGGCCCTCGAGGAGAGCCAGAGTACAGAAATGGAATTACAACCAGGGCTGCCGAAATTGTGTGTGTGTGTGAGAGCAAAAGTACCATTTGTCGTTGTTGAAAAGGTACCAAATCCCATCAAAGGGTACATTTTTTAAACTTTCAATTAAAACGACTTTTAAAACATGTTTGTATAACCAGCTTACCTTAAAGCTGAGAAGATTTGAAGTTCTTTGTCTACTACATCATTGTCGTACAATTTCTTTTCGTTGACTTTGTTACAAGGCTATTGTGCTGGCTTGCAGTTGGTGTCCTGCAGCTAACATTTTGATGTTTGCAATGCATTTATTGTTGTAGTCTTCAAAAGTCAGCCATGTTTTTTTAATTGTTTATTATTTTTTATTCAGGAGTTGGGGTGGGGGGGGGGGGGGGGGTTGGGGGGAGGACTAAGGAATGAGGTTATAAAAAAAAACTAAGGATAAATCATTAACACTTTTTGGATTCAGTGTAATGTGACATTATGTTGATGCAAACTTTCTGTCCTGTACCAAAACGTCGGTCGGGGTACCAAAAGTACAGTTCTGCTTGTCAAGGGTTCAAAGAGTATATAACATTTGTACGAAAGTACTAACTTCGGCAGCCCTGGTTGCCGGCATTTTCCGCCCCAGCCGCATGTAACTTAAACTTTGGACAAGTCCATTTTTGAATGTCCTTCTCCCTTCTAACAATCTAATCTCTCTCATCCCCCCCCCCCCCCCCCTTAAACAATCTTATTGCCCCTTGCGTGGCGTGGGCTCCATGTTGGAAAACTCTCACAATATTCGCACCAGAAAGCTTCGGGTTCTTGCTGATGTGTTCGCTCAGACATGCGACAGTAAAGGTTCGACGTTACATCTCAGAACGGTTATTTTAAAATGATTATCTTTTCTGTATCTGGCTAATAAAGAGTTAATGGGCTCATTTTAGCAGCGTTGTACGCCATTGTCTGTGTGAACAGTTCCTTATTAAAACAAAACAAAACTAAAAAGACCAGATTAAATATTTACTCAGTACAGCAGAAGGAACTGATCAGATGGTAACTCTGGACACCTTAGCGTAAGGGAGGTAGTGTAGGTATGATGAGTGCATAGATGTGAACATGGATACATACACAAGGATGAGTGCGTATAGTATGAGTGCATTTGTATATAGGATGGTATGTTGGCGGATGGTAAGGGATCACGTATGGACAGGGCAGTGGGAATATAGCTGTGCGAAAGGTAAAGATGAACGAGTACATGGATATAGAAATGAATTACTGTATGCATGTATATGTGGGTATGAGTGTGCATGTGTGTATATATATATATGGGAGCATGTATATTTATATATTTGTGTGTGTATGAATGACAGTGCACTCAAAGAACCCACAAATTGTGTTGCTGCATGTCTGTTAATTAATGAGAACAAATGGAATAAAGTGTGTAAGCAGCAAGAACGTCGTCAACACACACCATCCACCAGAACATGATAAGACAGTACCGGACAGGTCACATTCCAGTAACGGGACATAACTTAAAAGTGACACGACCAGACGAAATAACAGACAGCGACACAAAACGCACAAGACATGGAAAAGTGAATGTCACTACGTGTGGATGTACCTTTTTTTTTTTTAAATGTAAGTACAGGCATTGGTAGACGCATATGAAAGAGTTTGCGTGTGTACGTAATGTCAATTAGGAATGCACACACGGATAAGTATGAAAGGACGTGCAAATGTGTAGTGTTGTCTGCGTGTATGGGTACTCGAGTGTATGTACGCATACACCTAGTTGGGTGCGTCCATATACTCAGGGGATTCATACACAAAACCATCCCATTCCACAGCATGCATACAACATGCATATGACCGACAGGACTCACAACAAGATATGACTGACAGCAAATAGGGAAAACAAGTGACTCAATAATGACAGGACTAGAACGCATAACCACCAATACCAGTCCATCACTGGGATGATAGCAAAGGTTGGTAACGTGGTATACATAGTCCCGGCAAAAGGCCATGCTAGAATCCAGCAAGACGGCAACGAGGAGAAATGACTGAATGGCCTCCCGCCCCCTTTCCCCCCACCTTTCCCTAACTCTTTCGGATGCACTATGAGTTTAACCTCCCAAACCATTCCCACAGAGAGCACCTGAGTTCGTTACCCAACATGCCACAGCAATTCTCATCGCCGAACATTTGGATCTCAAAGCGTGAGCTGGATGCTCCGGTTATATGGTATTTACGTACACCGGAGCTTAGCTGTCAACACAACCCGATCACATAATAACAAATGACGACTGGACCCGCTTAAGGCTCCTCATAAACTCTCACACACATCACACACATATCCATTACATGACTAACCCGTTCATCTTACAGGAAGACAATTATAAGACCACTATGGTCACACGCGGAAAATTTTCACATTTTGGAACTATTCAAATTCAAAAACTGTTTTCAGTAACTTTTGGCAAAATTAAAATACTCAAAATTTTAAAACAATAAATGGTGGTCCAAAAGACGTTGTGTATGGAAGCTCGCTCTCCTTCGAGATACGCCTAGCCAGATCAAAGGGAGACAGAACAAACAGGAAACACCAAGAAAGAAGAAGGAAGACATGCACCAGCGACAACAGGACGAGCGGTTTGATTCGGGTGGAAGCATCAAGCCCAGAAATGGCACAAATACTAGTATTCAGTCACGAAAGTGACGCAAATAACCCAGACCACAAATATAGGCGGAGACTGCTAGCAGCCTAGGCTAGTTAGCAGCAGTCTGAACGTGGTCGAGCTTTTCATTTTTTTCTCAAAAGGACTTGGACTTGAATTGTTTGTGTGACGTGTGCGTCCAGTTGACAGTGTCAACCAAGTGCTTATCAACCTGCGCCGGGTTTAGTTCAGTGCATCAGAGTTGGGTAAATCCGCGGTACACAGAAATATTTCTACACCAAACATCAGCCATGGATTGTCGTATTGTTCTGTCAACAGATACAGCTGGAGAATTGTCGTATCTTTGCGTCAACAGGTACAGCTGGAGAATTGTCGTATCTTTGCGTCAACAGGTCCAACCCGCGCGAAAACCAGGTGTGGCTGTTGATGTAGTGGGTGTGTGCTCAATAAATTATTGCTTACGTTATCAGGGTTACAATAAGGAAACAATAACAACCAAAAAAGGGAAACAATAACAGCTTTAACTCAGTTGTAGTTTTTTCGCCAGGGCTATGAGTGTATGATTGTAGAATGCGTAGTGCAATTCCGCATTAAGTCTTTGTGTTTATGGATCAGTGGCTTAGCCGGTACACAAAGAAAGCTCATCATAAACAGTAGGAAGAGAATCGTTACACTGGTCCCTCTATAAGAAGAAACAGGTATTTTCAATTTTGTTGAAAGAAAAATCTTTCTCTCTTCCCCACCCCACGCTGACACCACCGTCGCCCCCATGTGGCAGGCAATTGTTCGTCATTTTGAAGCTACACCCCGGCTTTTGCCGGGGGTCATAATACAACCTAACGGTTGAAAGCAGTTTCTCTTCCCGGGTGATCCCCAGTCGCATGGTGGTACTTTGTGTCACCGGGTGTTTGTGTGGTCATATTGACTTACTTGCTCACTCTTCCACCCCCCCCCCCGCACCCCCGCACCCTAAACCTGTTATGAGACACCTGTGTGGAACCTTGGTGTCTGTTGCGTTTTGGATCACATCCAATACCTCAGTGTTCTATCAGTCCATCACTTACGTGGTCGACCTCTAGTTGTGCTTCATCCTGCCTAAGTGACAGACACTGTCTTCTTGTGGTCTTGACATGTGAAGCTTTAAAGCCGTTATCTATTGGCGCAATTTATATATGGACAGACAGACAGACAGACAGACAGACAGACAGACAGACAGACAGACAGACAGACAGACAGACAGACAGACAGACAGACAGACAGACAGACAGACAGACAGACAGACAGACAGACAGACAGACAGACAGACAGACAGACAGACAGACAGACAGACAGACAGATAGATAGATAGATAGATAGATAGATAGATAGATAGATAGATAGATAGATAGATAGATAGATAGATAGATAGATAGATAGATAGATAGATAGATAGATAGATAGATAGATAGATAGATAGATAGATAGATAGATAGATAGATAGATAGATAGATA